TGATCGTGTCGCTGCAGCCAAGTCAATTTTTCTTTGCCCAGATCGGGCTTCTCACGCAAATCCATGCTTGATATTCTATCTTTTGCAATGGCATAGTGCAGCACCTGTCCTCTTTCTACGGCCCATTTTGCTCGCAGTTTATTCACATGATACTTCACGGCATTTGTGGCGAAAATAGCTTTTGCACCGGCGAACTTCGTTAACAACTGAACGAGTCATTTCTTTGGGGCGTTGTGTGGCAATTGGACCTATTGCCTGCATGAAAATAGCTTTTCCAAATTTCTGCACAACTGAACGAGTCATTTCTGGAGCGATGGATTGTGTTAAATGAACGCAATCGAGTTTCATGGGCAGTGGCCTTTGATTTCGATGGCACTCTTGAAGCAAAAATGGCAATCAACAAACCGGCGTACAATGATGATATTATATATCATGTACTCATGACTCATTCTCTTTTGTTGTTTCACCTCGGAGCCAACTCTCTTTCTTCATGCAGTCTGCAGTGCCATGTCGAGGCTTTAGGTCTCATGGCTGGGATGCACCAGAATGTCAAACCTTTGCAGTGGGTTAAAAGAATGCAACCGGTGTACTTTCGAACATCAGCAAAACTCCCTGTGGGGTGTCTACAGATCAAACTTATTATGTAGAATTGAATATAGGTTCTCCTGTGAGAAGATTTAAATTAGGGAATGTACTTCCTTGCTGTGGCCTTTCCCAATTCACTATGACTCTGCCACCTCCCATCCTTCCCACCATGTTGGGGCATTATGTTTTCCTCTGCCAGGTCGTGCTGGCAAAAGCGCAAAGCAGTTTGCGACCAACATTGGCGAGGGAGCTAATGACTCAGCCAATCAGTGAGCCTTCAGTTTGCTACTTGCTGCTGCTCTGTAACACCTTGTTTGTCTCCAATTGATTGCAAGAATGGCTCCAATGAATGCCATGGGAATCATGGGAAGCACTCACATTTTTGAAAACAGATAGACCATGCACACACACAAAAAAAGTTTGGATTTGAAATCTGGGCGAACAATTTGTGAACCAATCGAAGTCGAAGCTAGATGGTTTTCTTCAAATTTTCAGCTGCATGTAAAAGGTGTCAAAATACAACAATTTTTCAAAATCTACTGTATTCTGAAACCTGTGCCATGGATCCTGTGGATGAAGAGCTCATTGAACTATTGAGCTGCCACCGACCAGCCTCTTGACCAACACACACTAGTTTTGAGCCTGATTTTCTCTGGTGAAATTGACAGAATGGATATATATCATGGTATATCCATGCATCACTCCTTACACGGGTTCCTGAGGCTTCAATGGGACCCTACGCTTGGGAATGGGCCAGACCAGTGAAACGTGTGAGATCCAGTGCCACTGCTCCTCCTGTCAACTTACAATCTTTGCCCTTGGAGGAAGAAGAACATCATCCTGAAAAAAAAACTAGGGGCTATGTATTGAACCACCTTCCAGTTTGGACAGATCTTTTCTTGCTACACGATGAGCTCAAACATCTCCCCAGATCGCTGGATGTGTTCCGAAAGATTGAGGGGAACCCTGCTCTTAGCTCCCACCTTTATGGGGGGGTCGGCGGCACTAGAGCGTTAGCCCATTCTATATATATATATATGTATATGTATTAAACATATTGTATTATATTATATTATATGACCCCATCTGCACTCCCAGCGGTTGTGCCCCTGACGGCAACGGCTCGGGTTCTGGAGTTGGCTCCGTGGGCTCCGTGGGCGCCTCGGTCGCCTCGGTCGCGGCTTGGTCCACGACGGCTGAGCCGCCGTGGAATTTCTACTGATACGTACTGGTTGCTGGTGGGGCATTTATACATATACCCTCTGGTTATTTAACATAGCCATGGAAAATCCCTTATAAAAGGAGGTTTATAGCTGGGAAAATCATCTATAAATGGGCCATTTTCCATGGCTATGTTAAATAACCAGAGGGTAAATCGCCATAAATCCATTACTCATCACTATCTGGTTGGTGGTTTCAACCATCTTGAAAAATATGAGTTCGTCAATGGGAAGGATTATGGAAAATAAAAAATGTTTGAAAACTGGTTGGTGGTATACCTACCCCTCTGAAAAATATGAGTTACAGTATATATATATATATATTTTTTTTCCATGTTTATACATATTCCAATTTTCCAAGTTGTATCTGGACATTTTATACATATTCCGTTTGTCTCTATATCTATGTGTATGACCGCGTATGTATTACAGCATGCTTCCTGGGCAGAAATGCTGACAGGATTGAATCATCCCATTCCTGGGAAGGGAAGAAGTCATCGACATGGCCTGTTTCCACTGAAATCACTTCTAAGTTCCAAGCCGGTACCTCAACGGCTGCAGTACTTGTTGATGGCGGCCTGATTTCCGATATGATGGGGATGCAGAGGGGCATACCATCCATGTATGATTAAATTAAAATTATGATATTCTTTGATTATTTTCCAAATGGTCATCATTTACCAATGGAAAAACTATGGAAATCAAAATAATGACCATCATTAGCAAATGGTCATCATTAGCATATGGTCATCATTAGCATATGGATATTCATTTATTAATGATGATTGACCCAGTGGATTTCTGGTGGTTTTCCTGCCTCTCCCTGGCATGGCTCCGTCGACCGTGGCTTCCGGCCTCCTGGCCCAGAGATTGTGGAGGCGGCCATTTCTAGTAAGAAGTTGTTACTTTTAGGGGAAACCCCACAATTCAGCAACTATTAGGGTTTATAAATCCGTGGTTGACATTAGAGTGATTGAAGAATCGATTCCTTTCAAATCTTGTTTTGTCCCATTCAGGTTTCTGGCGAAACTAGCATTGAAATATCGGTTGAGCACCATTTAGGCTGGTTTCCACATGCTCCAGCCGAAAGCAACGTTTGTGATCAGCCCCCGCCATGAGGGACACATTTCATTTGTTTTAATCATAGCTAGAAGGTGCTGGGTGGGATCTTCAACCAAGTTTCCCACTAATTAAGGATATGCTTGAAAGACAATTGTCCAGTCTGCTATGCTCGATTGAATCCAAAATCTTGATACATGCAATTCACATTGTATGAGTGAAATCGTAGGGTGATGTTCACAGTTCCAGATGATTTGACTATATACTTTGACCCATTTCAAAACATATCTCTCCATATATCTCTCTATATATAAAAATATATATAATAATATCTGGGCCGCTGTTAAGATAGTCAAATAATCAAAAAGTGTTCTATATATCTATTTCGGGAAATATATTTCAATACATTATATATTCTGATTACCCATGATTAAACTTGTTTTCTTCGTTGCAAGAGCCCAACCTTTCTTCAGATATCGTTGCCTAATCACATGGAACACCGAATATTCATTCGCACAATACTTCCCAAAGTTGACGTTTTGCTGAAATTGCTCTTCGTTCATGAAAATTGCGGGTTCCCTCAATACAGCACAGCAAATACAAATATAGTTTTCTGACTTCTCTTGGGTTCTCCGACATTTTGCAACATGGAGGGGATTGCAGCAGCTGTTTTCAGCAATGGTATCATTTTGGCAAATTTACAGGCTGCTTCATTTTATTTCAACCATTACATAAAACATACTTGCGCATGTTGCATGTTATTGTGTTTGCACCGTCCTCGTCGTGTTGAGTTGGTTCGTCAACTAATCTGAAATTTGCCGAGGCGTTTCAATGAAGCATCACCCCATCACTCAAGGTCTTGATCCTTCAAACCATACATTTACAGATATTCATGCATAAACATGTGTACAAGGAGAACTTCACACATTGACACGCACACGCACGCAAGTCTATATCCATCTTTGACATAAATATATGTACATACATACAAATAATCTATCTATACTTATATATAATAAATATATATATATATCTATATACATATAGATATTCACAGCATGTGCATGGACATTGGAGTGGCCATTCCCTTTGAAGAGAATGCACGCCTTGCCATCACGGAAAACTACCTGCCCTGCACCCCCAATGCTCCCCTTATCTGAAGAGCGAGTATGCATGGTGATGTCCCGCAGCAACGCCTGGCAATATGGTTTGAACTTGTCTGCACTTGGGGAGCCAGCGGTATGATCACATGTCAAAGGGAGCTTGTGGTCTTAGACGTAAAAAAAAGGTGCACTTGGCTGCCTACTCAATTTGTTCAAGATATGTAACAAGCATGTTGTATGGCCACGAAACAAATAATATACTACACTTGATCAAATCCCAGAGATAACTTTTGAAAATGTTATTCTTGCTTGATGCCTCTCCATATTCTTGAGATTATTTGCGCATATTCTTGTTGAATCCATATGTATTTTTGTTTGGTCCGTCGCCCCTACTCCTTGCTTCGCTCCTTCCGTCTTGTTTTGGCTTTGGCTTCTCGGGCTAATTCCTGCTTGCCCACCAGCCTATTACTTCACCCACTTGAAGGATTAGCTACATATACCTGTTTGACACATGTTGTTCTTTATTATGCGTATATACATGCATGTTTGAGGTGTACTGAGCAAGTATTTATATATATATATATATATCTCTCTCTCTCTCTATCTAGACATAGGTTTATATACGGCCAAAAAATGGTATGCAGATATACGCATTTATAATACATATGCAAATTTGTCTTTAGTTGCAATGCTCATACGTTTGTACATAGGCAAATGCAAAATTGCCGATGCCGACAGCATGGGAGGTCCTATTGCTTGCCTTCACCGGCGGTTGGGCCCAGGAAGCCTTCTTTCTGATCAGCCCCTTAGCGCTCACGACCTTGCAATGCTTACCCTTAATATTTTAAATTCTTGTTGGCGCTGTTAAGCAAATCACCTTGCACAAGAGAGGGGCTGCCAGCCCCTATCCACTGCAAGGTCCGTAGCGCTCGGGACCTTGCACCGCCTCTCCCCACCGTAGCTCGGGGCATGGGTTTTGACCTTGCAGCCCCATATCTTGAATATTTTTAACGTGCTGTTAAGATAATCATACTCAGGCGGTGCAAGGTCCGTAGCGCTCGGGACCTTGCAGGGCATAGGGGCTGACAGCCCCTCTCCTGTATAAGGTGATTTGCTTAACAGCACCAACAAGAATTTAAAATATTAAGGGTAAGCATTGCAACGTCGTGAGCGCTAAGGGGCTGATCAGAAAGAAGGCTTCCTGGGCCCAACCGCTTGTGAAGGCAAGCAATAGGACCTCCCATGCTGTCGGCATCGGCAATTTTGCATTTGCCTATGTACAAATGTATGAGCATTGCAACTAAAGATATAAATTTGCATATGTATTATAAATGTGTATATCTGCATACCATTTTTTGGCCGTATATAAACCTATGTCTAGATAGAGAGAGAGAGAGATATATATATATATATATAAATACTTGCTCAGTACACCTAAAACATGCATGTATATACGCATAATAAAGAACAACATGTGTCAAACAGGTATATGTAGCTAATCCTTCAAGTGGGTGAAGTAATAGGCTGGTGGGCAAGCAGGAATTAGCCCGAGAAGCCAAAGCCAAAACAAGACGGAAGGAGCGAAGCAAGGAGTAGGGGCGACGGATCAAACAAAAATACATATGGATTCAACAAGAATATGCGCAAATAATCTCAAGAATATGGAGAGGCATCAAGCAAGAATAACATTTTCAAAAGTTCTCTCTGGGATTTGATCAAGTGTAGTATATTATTTGTTTCGTGGCCATACAACATGCTTGTTACAAATCTTGAACAAATTGAGTAGGCAGCCAAGTGCACCATTTTTTACGTCTAAGACCGCAAGCTCCCTTTGACATGTGATCATACTGCTGGCTCCCCAAGTGCAGACAAGTTCAAACCATATTGCCAGGCGTTGCTGCGGGACATCACCATGCATACTCGCTATTCAGATAAGGGGATTATTGGGGGTGCAGGGCAGGTAGTTTTCCGTGATGGCAAGGCGTGCATTCTCTTCAAAGGGAATGGCCACTCCAATATCCATGCACATGCTGTGAATATCTATATGTATATACATATTTATAATATATAAGTATAGATAGATTATTTGTATGTATGTACATTTTTTATGTCAAAGATGGATATAGACTTGCGTGCGTGTGCGTGTCAATGTGTGAAGTTCTCCTTGTACACATGTTTATGCATGAATATCTGTAAATGTATGGTTTGAAGGATCAAAACCTTGGGTGATGGGGTGATGATTCATTGAAACGCCTCGACAAGTTTCAGATTAGTTGACGAACCAACTCAACACGACGAGGACGGTGCAAACACAATAACATGCAACATGCGCAAGTATATTTTATGTAATGGTTGAAATAAAATGAAGCAGCCTGTATATTTGCCAAAATGATACCATTGCTGAAAGCAGCTGCTACAATCCCCACCATGTTGCAAAAGGTCGGAGAACCAAAGAGAAGTCAGAAAACTATATTTGTATTTGCTGTGCTGCATTGAGGGAACCCACAATTCCATGAACGAAGAGCAATTTCAGCAAAACACCACCTGTGGGAAGTATTGTGCGGCTGAATATTTGGTGTTCCATGTGATTAGGCAACGATATTTAAAGAAAGGTTGAGCCCTTGCAACAGACAAGACAATAGCGTAATTTTAACCATGGTTAGCTAATCATACTATATTATATGTTGCATTGAAATATATTCTGAAATATACAGAAAAACTTTTTGATTATTTGACTATCTTAACAGCAGCCCAGATATATATATATATATATAATAATATATTTAATAATATATATATAATAATATATATATAAGTATGAATTGATACAAAGTCAGAAGTATTCATCTCTCTCTCTCTCTCTCTCTCTCCCCAGGCCGGCTCTCTCTGAGCGCCCGGTGCCACTCCTTGGACTTTTTCGGCCGCTCGGCAAGTGGAGGGCCCTCCATCTGCGTGCCCAGCCAGGAGCGACCTGGGCTCAGGGGAGCTGGTGATAGGATGGTGAATGAGTACACTATACTATGATATACTATGTATATACTATGTATATAGCAGTATACCTCAGAAACTTGGAAAATACGTGATGTGGTTAGTAATGGCTAGTACTGTATTGTTAATGAGTGATGAAAGTTATTGGTGACTATTAATGGTAGTTGGTGGTGATGATAATGATGGTGATGACGATGATTGTGATGATGATGGTGATGATGATGATGTTGTGGTTTGTACTGGTCAGTACTGTAGTTATTTATGACTGATAAAGGTTATTGATGGCTAATAATGGTTGTTGGTGATGATCATGATGATGATGATGATGATGATGTGGTTAGTAATGGTTAGCACCGTAGTTATTAATAATTGATGAAGGTTACATCATCCAACTACCATCATCCAACTACCATCCTGGAAAGACCTATCCTTTTTGGGGGTTCCATATAGGGTACAGGACCATATAGAACCTAGAGTACGTTCTAAAGAATCAATTATTTATTAAATCTAGAGAGCCAAGGACTAATTGATGATCATATTACAGGGAATCTGGAATCCTTAAACATGACACCATTGAAACCCATCACCTGGAGTATGTATATGTGCATATACATATATATATATATACACATATATACATTATATACTTGTGTATACCTCTTGGAAACCTGATGAGGAAAGAAACTCAGTAGACCTCAAACACTGGAAACCATTTTGCCAACAACTACGTCCAAGTGAAATTGAGAAAATCCCGAAATACAGCCTATAGGCAAATATCTCAGCACTGCAGGAATGAAGTTGCAAAGTCAGAGGGAAAACGCCAATCGCCAAAGGGACAATCCTTTGCAAGTATCCCCCCGGTCTGCAAGTGTTCCCTCCAATTCTGGAAGTTGATGGGTTGGATGAATCACTAAATCATTGGATGAAATTGTTTAAGTACAATTGGTTGCCAACCCATCCACATTTTTTTCCTATCGCGCTATTCATTGGGCTTCAGTCAGCTTTGGCCACTGGGTGAACCGCACCTTTCTCCACACCTTTGGTGAGCCGATCAAGAAGCACCTGGCGACCGTTTGGTGAACTTGCTCGGGTGGAGGTACACATTGGTTTGGTTACCCCTAGATACCTACAGGATCCTACAGGATCCTACAGGAAGGGCCCCGATGATTATAAGTTGACTTCAAAAATCATCCAACTATACATGCATTCAATATAAACCCCAGCTAACCTACAGTTCTAAGCCAATGTAGCTATCTTCGGGGCCCCTTCCTGCATGGACCTATACAACATGATACTGTAGTAATTGTATAGGTAGTAGCTAACCACCATGTGATAGATACCTATGGCATATGACGCAATCTGCTGGAATATGAAAAAAACTCAACACACTCTGTCTTTGGCCAGGTGGGCCGCTGTTTCAACCCCATGAAAAAAATCAAACAGCCAAACGAACCTGGGCGCATGGATGGAACGCCGCTCCCATGCCACTGGCTACCCTACCTGTGGCGACAACGCCACCAACTCATTCCAGTTGCCCGCAGCCACGGCCGCTGGCTCAGAAGGACCTCAGAGAACACCGTTCACCCGTTCATCGTAAATCGCAGATTTGCCGAAACTATCCTAAACTCAACATTAATTGCCTATCAATTGCCCAAACATGCAAACAATAAGGATTTTACTCTAATTTCTCAATTAACTATACCCATATATCCCCATATATATAATCGATGGGTGTAATTCTCAATCAATTATCACATCCCCACACACACATATAATACAGTATATATATATATATATGTATATATAATCCAATTAGGTGGCAAATGGTGGCAAATTGCTGCTTTCCATTCTGACCCATCTTCTGCCAAGATCGGGTCACGCCGTGGTCCAACACGTCCCGCCGTACTGCTGGAACGCGTACGAGACACCTGGCACGGCATGGCACGGCCACCCGTCAGGATCCGGGTGACGCCAGGGTACCGTAGCTGCGTCGCAACCCCCAAAAAACCTAACATGGGAGCAATATATAGCTATGACTCTGACTTAACTATTATATCTTGCTATATATATATATATGTGTGTGTGTGTGACCTATCATGATTCAATGATTCATGCTAATTTATGCCATTTCTCTCTCTCTCTTCTCTTTTTCTTTCGCCATCCCGGAGGTTCAGCGTGAGGCTGAGATTTATGTCTAGTGGAGCCCAATTGTATATTACAGTACCATCTGGTTATTTAACATAGCCATGGAAAATCCCTTATAAATGGAGGTTTATAGCTGGGAAAATCATCTACAAATGGGCCATCTATACCATGGCTATGTTAGTCATAACCAGATGGTACATCCGAACATCGTCTTACCCAACCTGCATCGGATTCGGGGTGCAAATATCTATGGAAACGACTCTTGCTGGTCTTGGGCCCATCCACGGGACGAAAGAAACAAAAACTCATGGATCAATATGGATCATCATAGCTACAGTATGCTACAGTATATCCTGCCAAAGCACCACATCATTGGAAAAAACAACGACATAACAAACTGTGGACATCAACCACCATCAATTGTCACAGAACTATCACCAAGTATCGACTTCATCAAGTAATCCGGCCTTGGCGTCGTCCGACCTTGGCTTAGCAGTTCTTGTGAATGTGTCGAACAAATGCTATATTTGAAAGGACATATCCTGTGAAATCTTAGACCTTAACTATAATGGTAGGTACCTCCAATGCTGATTTCTGAACTGGCCACTGAAGATCACTGAAGTAGATCCGTCACAGGTCACAGCAAAAGTAGAAACAGTAACGTCGCACCGCTGGGCCTCCCTGCCCACGTTGCCGCGCGCCCGCTGCACCCCACTCCTGCGTAAAACCAATCTAAATTGAGGATTTATGCGATTTACCTGCAACAAATCAAGGTATATAAACTGACATGGTGCTAAACTCCACGAAATGCTGAGTAGTTTTAGCTGGCACACTGGGATCATTCTCCAAGTAGATCTGTGGGCAAGGGTGCCGTAACATGACATCAATGAAAAGCAGTTTGGTTGTGCCGGGTTCAATAGCATCAGCTGCAACTATCACGGGCAACATTGGACAACGAACAGTAACCAACTCGTCAAACATTGCCAGGAAAGCACCAATATCAAATTTGCATAGAATTGCCCTAGATCATTGCAGGACAGCTTTGCATAGTTTCGCGCGCGGCACTCAGAGTATCAGGCTGCAAAAAAGATGGCCATCCTTTTTTTCTATCGCAGGATGAAACAGCATACCCTCCAGTAATCTAACATAACTCTGGAAAATCACCATGTTCAATGGGTAAATCCACTATTTCAAAAAAAAAAGCAATTTTCAATAGCTATTTTGTGACATAACCAGAGGGTATCAACAAAAACATCAACCAACAAATAGATACAAATAGGCCATAACCATCCCTATCTTCCCAGTAGTATCTCTCCCAGGCCTCGATCCGTGCAGCCCGGCCCATGTCACTGAAACTGGAGGCCCGGATCATGGACTCGGCGATGCGGCGATGCGCTGGCCCTGGTTTGAAGTGGGGCAACTCTTTGGTGGATCTACCCTCTGGTTATGACATTGCCAGTTCGCCATGGAAAGATCCACCCATTTTCAATAGGTAAACCATCTATTTCGATTAGGGCCATCTATACCATGGCTATGTTAAATAACCAGAGGGTAGATTTCCGATTACCAGCTAGTAGGGGTGAAAATTGGCCTTAGGATTGGATGGTTTGAAAATAGTTCCAAAACATTCCAAACATGTTGAAACTAAAATCGATGATACTCATCCCGAGACCCCAAGATCTCCTGAGGTTCCAGGCTCCAGCACTTCGTGGACGAGACGCCATGGTAGGTTGAGTCATGGCAGTTCTTGGGAAATGTGGGCGGAACATGAGGGATACGCCAAGTTGTGACCATTTCAATTGTCTTTTTTTGGCTATATGTTACTGGAAATGGCAAGACAAACCATAGGTCTTTGAAATTTTGCGGTACCTCGTTTTCCCAGAACCAAGCCATACGGTTGTATGGCGACCCAAAGTGGCACAACGCATAGTTGTAAACCCTAAGGATCTGAAACTACCCCAAAGTGTGTCAAATATCTTGAGCCATGCCCATTTGCTGAGCTTCACATGGGACAGGGCCCTACTGTAATCTGCAGCTCGTGTTGCAAACCCATCCTGAGTTTTGTTCCATTGAAGTGCATGGTCGGACATCGAAATGCGCATGATTCATGCGGACTTAAAAATCTCATGTGATATCATATGCTCTTACATATTTATATACAGTAGACAGTAAACACATAATAAACAAATTTGCTCAATTCCGTACACGATGTTTTTTGTTTCAGAAATGCATCAGCTGAAGACTACCATTGACCCAGAATATAAAACCATAACTGATCTGGTTTGCAACTTCTGTTGTTTCTATTTGCTTTGGCTCAACGATGCAAAGCTTTGGAGATCCAAAATGGGATAGCGGTGACAGCACCATGAAATGAACTTGTCGCAGCTGACAACGCTGGGAACTTCATAAAAATCCAACAAAAATCCAGTGCAATTTGTAGATTACATGGCACTTACAGGGGGAAATCACCTTTCAACCACGCTTCGCAAATTTGAAGGGGACCCTGCAGTGCCCTGCAGCAGGAAGTTCTGAATTTCACATGACCAACGATAGTTCTGAGCCAGCAGCTCCTGTGCTCCATATGGTCATTTTTTATACACCAGATATGTCAAGATATGTCAAGATATAGTCATAGTGCTTCCAATTTTCAGTGGATCATCCATGATCATCCCTGGATCGACAATACCCGAAATGACCCCCAGCTCCAAGAAAAAACCGGTTTGGAGGATCTCCAGCTCCGGGAATTCGGTTTTTGTGCCTAAAAAATTCGTGGGTGTCTGAAAGTGAAGCGTGTCAGTTCAATATATTTTTCAAAGGATCCAAAGGGAAACATGATGAAAAACCCTCTGCAGTTTTTTTTCTGACAAATCAATTGAAATTGATTTTTCAAAATGATGGAAAGAAAATCAATGGAATTCTCTCTAGCAAATTTTCAGAGAAACCCTCTGCAGTAAGTTCTGCCGACCATTTTTTGTTTGGCCGGCGCGAGACATCTGGCCTCAGCGCATCCAGGGGTTGCCCGGAATGACATGTTCAAGGATGATCTATTAAAACATGACATTCATATATCTATGACAGTTATATGGGATTTCAAGTGGAGTTATAACAGCCCACTTGAGAATTTAAATGATATAGCTATAGAAAAAAGGTGATGTTCATTGATTTTCCATATAAAAAATCGATTTTCCATGTACCTATGTTCATTGGTTATCCATGTAAAAATAGATGTTCCATACAGTTATCTTAGAATACCTTAAAGGGACACACCTACTGTCCGTCACCTAACGTGCCGCTGGGTCTCCAGGCCCCGGTCAAACCTGTCGCAGCAAATCGACACCGCCCTGGAGCAGCATATTCACCGCCTACGGAAAACGGGAGGTGAGGATGACGATGAGGATCATCGTTATGAGGATTACCCTCTGGTAATTTAACATAGCTATTGAAAAATGGCCATCTATAGTGGATTTACCCATTGAAAATAGTGATTTTCCATAGTTATGTTAGTTTACCAGAGGGTACTGGTTGGTGGTTGAACCCTACCCCTCTGAAAAATATATGTCAATGGGAAGGATTATCCCATATACTATGGAACATGTTTGAAACCACCAACCAGATTATATAATGTTCATTATGGTTAAATAATAAATAATAATAATCATAATAATAATCATGATAAATGTTCATGACAATCATTGTTATGATATGTTATGATAATGACCATGTGTGTTATATGATGATCAACCATGGTATAGTGATGATGACGATATTGATGACACATGATAATCATTATATGTGATGAAATATGATGTAATTTGATGTAATGATCATGAAAATTCCTCATTATCATGATCATTCTGCATTTATCAATTACAGTATCATTATCATTATACATTTATCATTGTCGGAGATGGAGATGGAGGATGACACTTACCATTCCTCAATGATAATACGCGGCATTGGACAACATAATCATGATACATGTTCGTGATAATCATTGTTGTGATATATTATGATAATTACCATTTACGTTATATGATGAGCAAACACAATATAATGATAATAATGATGACAAATGATAAACTTGATATGTGACGCAATCATTAATGAAGATTCATCACTATCATTACTGTACCATTCTGCATTTATCATCATTTATCGTGGTCATTATCATGGAGTTTTATCATTATTAGCACCGTTAGCATGGTAATCATGTTCATATATCGTTACCATTCATTGCCATGAACGGTATGATCGGCAGTGTTGTGGTTTTATTGCTATGATTGCAGTGTTTACTACCAATGCATTCATGAATTATTTCTGTTGTCGTCGTTGTTGCTGCTGTTTATTACCTATATACATCTGTATACTGTATATGTTTATGATCATATTATAATGATGCTTCATTCATGACGATCATGTTTCTAGTTCTGATAGTGAAAATGATGATGGTGATGGTGGTGATGATGGTGATAGTAGCTAGTAGCAAGAGCTGGGCTTGTCCCTGCTTTCCAGCATCACATATCAAATCTTTACTGTGTCGCATGTGTCTGGGCCAAAGTGTTCACACAAAAGGGGGTCAACACAAACAATGGGAACCAACCCCACAACATTTGATATCATGGGTGTGGCTCAAATTTAATGACCCCATTTTGGGATGGTTTCAGACTTTTAGATCCTAGTGGTCCCTTCCCCTCCATATCAAGTACCGCCCTCGAGGCCCTCAACCCCTTTGGTTCAGTATATTGGATCTACATATATATATATAGTACTGTTTTTTGGGGCCCATATCCAGGAGGTTCTATAACCAGGGGAATGGGATTCATACATGGCCAGCCATAACCAGACCCCCAAAAAGCTCCGTCCGCACCGGTCACCCGCCTTCAGCACTTCAGGGGGACAACCAGCACATGCCTGGACCGGAGGTCATGGGGTTATTTTAGAGACCCAATTTATGGTTTTTTTTAATGAGAAAACGCGGGAAACTCTAGACTTGATCGGATTTTTGAGGTACCCCGTGTTCAAACAAAACCATCATTTCCCAATAGAAAATCATGATATAGTCTGTATCCATCTTGGTGATGGGAAAGAGTTTAAATAACGGCTGGCCTGGGGTCGCAACTCTGGAGCCCATGAGGCAAAGATTCAAATCAAGTCTGAGATGTCTGGATACCCATCGGGCACACAAAAACACATGGAAAACCCATGGTTTCACCAGGACCATGGTCTACAAATGATCTACAAATGGTAGATTTTTCACATCGAACTGTTAACTGTTAGTTAGTTGATACTTTGGGATGCCCAAATGCCCTGCCTTAATTTTGAGCTTTGCCAACGTCTCTTCACAAATCGCCTTGGGCTTGCTTGAGAAGATCCACTGAATAACATACATTGGACCCACCCAATATAGATGGTGTGTTGAAAAAAAGGATGCTCAGCGGTTTAACCTATGGCCCACAACTAGTCGTTGTGTAACTGCCACTGCTTATAAATCCATTGTCCTACTTAAATAATCATCAATTGTTTAAGAATCAACTACATACAACTACTGCATCTTTGGAAACGGACGCTTTGACTATGTTACCAATAATCCCACTAATTCATAGTGAATCCAATTAGAATTCCCCTTGATTTCCATGAAACCCTATTGTTGATAGTTGGTCACCAGCTGTCTTCCAAACAAATGCCACATCCTGCTCCGCTGTTGGACGTTTGCACCAAGAGACCATCTGTTTAACTCGCTGCACCTGTGGCATGCAGAGCCTTGGTGCAAGCCATGGGGATGGATGAGGTAATTCCCATAACTGAAGAGATTCCATTAATCTAACTGGGGGTGTTCACTCATTTGCTTACTGTAATGGGATGCACCTCCAAGTGTATACTGTATGTGTATGTATGTATGTATGTATGTATGTACGTAGGTATGTATGTATGTATGTATGTATGTATGTATGTATGTATGTCTGTATGTATACATCATACTCATCAAGTCTAAGTATCCTCAGTTGAACCCATGTTTGGGGATGATTCATGATGATTCCCTTAGGCATCACATGTACATCGTAGAGCATAGGGTGAGCTTGTTGCCAGGTCGCTCTCCGGCTAGCGGATAGGGGTAAATTATCCACAGTGCAGCTCACAAACTACTGTAGTACATGGAATGGTGAGGTAAGTGGGGTGGATATATTTATACATAATGATATAGATATGATAATAAATGTTTTATATATTAATAATGATTTGATATCATAATATATACCACTCTACAATGAGTTGCATGCCAATTCCCAAATAATTACTCAACAAAACCTGAGGAAAACCCAGCTATATATGGGACTAAATATTGGAAGCCCAAACTTGCTTTTGTGGATCTTCTCCCTGCGAAGGTTTTCTCACTTTCTTTCACGAGCTTAGCAGGAATGATCAGTCGGAAAGCGAGCGATCTTCCTCAGCTTCCTCTATGATCCTGGAGATTCCCATTTTGAGCTTTAAGTTTTTAGGTGGCCATTTTTTTTACATGTAAAAAACATATATCCAGTAATATATATATATATACATTCATATATATAGTATTCATAGATTTTTTTTAATCAACAAACATATACAAACATCACGAGCCAGCCCCAACCCACTTCGCCATTCCCAGCGGCGTTCGTGTTTTTGACGCACTGCAGGGCCCCCAGAACCTGGGCCAAAAAAACTGCTGGGCCAAGGCGAAGAAGGGCGGCTAACCAGGCGGTTAGTAACCGATGATAGATGATATTATACATTGTTTAAAGCTGGTTATAGATGGTTATAGATTGCTATAGATGGTTATAGATGGTTATAGATGGTTATAGATTGTTATAGATGGTTGTAGATGGTTGTAGATGGTTATAGATGGTTATAGATGGTTGTAGATGGTTGTAGATGGTTGCAGATGATTGCAAATGGTTATAGATGGCTATAGATTGCTATAGATGGTTATAGATGGTTATAGACGGTTATAGATGGTTATAGACGGTTATAGATTGTTATAGATGGTTGTAGATGGTTGTAGATGGTTTTAGATGGTTATAGATGGTTGTAGATGGTTGTAGATGGTTGTAGATGGTTGCAGATGATTGCAAATGGTTATAGATGGCTATAGGTGGTTGTAGATGGTTATAGATGGTTGTAGATGGTTGCAGATGGTTTTAGATGGTTCTTGATGGATATAGGTGGTTGTAGATTGTTGTAGATGGTTACAGATGGTTGGAGATGGTTGCAAATGGTTATAAATGGTTATATATGGTTATAGATGGTTATAGATGGCTATAGGTGGTTGTAGATGGTTATAGATGGCTATGTGTGGTTGTAGATGGTTATAGATGGTTATAGATGGTTGTACATGGTTATAGATGGTTGTAGATGGTTAAAGATGGTTGTAGATGGTTATAGATGGTTATAGATGGTTATAGATGGTTGTAGGTGGTTATAGATGGTTATAGATGTTTATGGTGGCGGCGCTCCTTGAGGGACCGCACTGTTGTCACATTCATACATGGGCATGATGCGACGTTGCACGTATGGGGTGGGGTGGTGGGGTCATGTTAACGTTCATGTGAAGTGCATACGTTGTCGATGCTACGTTGCACGTATGGGGTGGGGGGGGGGGGGTGGGGTCATGTTAACGTTCATGTGAAGTGCATACGTTGTCGATGCTACGTTGCACGTATGGGTGGGGGGGTGGGGTTATGTTAACGTTATGTGAAGTGCATACGTTGTCGATGCTACGTTGCAAGTATGGGGTGGGGGGGGGGGTGGGGTTATGTTAACGTTCATGTGAAGTGCATACGTTGTCGATGTACGTTGCACGTATGGGGTGGGGGGGTGGGGCCATGTAACGTTCATGTGAAGTGCATACGTTGCACGTATGGGGTGGGGGGTGGGGCCATGTTAACGTTCATTGAAGTGCATACGTTGTCGATGCTACGTTGCACGTATGGGGTGGGGGGTGGGGTCATGTTAACGTTCATTGAAGTGCATACGTTGTCGATGCTACGTTGCACGTATGGGGGGGGGGTGGGGTCATGTTAACGTTCATGTGAAGTGCATACGTTGTCGATGCTACGTTGCACGTATGGGGTGGGGGGTGGGGTCATGTAACGTTCATGTGAGTGCATACGTTGTCGATGCTACGTTGCACGTATGGGGTGGGGGGGTTGGGGCCATGTTAACGTTCATGTGAAGTACGTTGTCGATACGTTGTCGATGTGAAGTGCATACGTTGTCGATGCTACGTTGCACGTATGGGGTGGGGGGTGGGGTCATGTTAACGTTCATGTGAAGTGCATACGTTGTCGATGCTACGTTGCACGTATGGGGTGGGGGGGTGGGGCCATGTTAACGTTCATGTGAAGTGCATACGTTGTCGATGCTACGTTGGGGGGGTGAGGTCATGTTAACGTTCATGTGAAGTGCATACGTTGTCGATGGGTGGCAGCGCGACTGCGACGAAATCGTTTGGGAGGAACTCAGGTGTTAGACAGAATTTGGGATTCACTGAAAAGAACTTTGCCTCGCTCTTTGAGTACTCGACAGTTGTCCCTGGATGCCATGCGCTTGCGCTTGCAGCGCTATGTATGGATGTGGTACTGGAGGCACAGGATCTCAAGTGAAGGATCCGATGTTTTAGAAAGTTTGGGAGCTTTGATGTCCAAAGTCAATGAAGCCTTGGGTTACTGGAAATAACCAGTAGAAGAAAAGCAAGAAGTGAAAAAAAGGAGCTTGGCAAAACAAGTGTGGGCATGAGATGAAGTTTTCGAAAGACATTTTTTGTCAGAAATGACGTTTTCGCTATAGCCAAATACAAGAACTGGAAAAAAATTAGGCGCGCCTACAGCACTTTTGACGCTTCCACACGAAGCATTTGAAGATGGCATGTACCAAAACACTGTAAATAATGGGGTATGAATCCAAAACAGGATCAAAGTCACATTAAAATAACGCAGAAAGCGTGGTCGCCCTACAGGCGCCATAACCATGTTTATGCCTACGGGTTGAAAACCGAACCAGCGTTTTGCATGTTTCTATGTCTTTCATGGGGTTAACGGGGTGTGGTGGGGTGGGGTGGGGTGGGGTAATAACGTTCATTTGCACTGCCTGACATACATGATGCTACGCTGCTGTACGTCTTTTTGCACTTCCTCACATGCATTAGAACCACTGGGAGCCTATTTAAACACCTGTTTCTGACGTGTCCATGTTGGGGTTGTTGTAGTGAACCAGAAACCATATGCAATTCAGTAGAAACTATATAAATTATGTCAGAAACCATATGTATTTGTCAGAAACTATATGTGATTTAATGGTTTGAAATTAAATCTGATAGTTACAATGATGGCGATAGTCACTGATAGTGATGATGGTTGTGAATCATCAGAACCCTCCCTATTTTTCCTTGATGGCTCCATGTATCGCAATATCTCAAATGATATAGGATTCTAAAATGATTAAATTTGAAATGGCAATACATAATGGTCCTTGGTTTTTGATTCATGATTCATGATGATGTAATGTCAAGACTATTGAATGATGCAGAATCTGATGCATGCATGGTTATTGCTAGAAATATGATATGATTACTACTGACCACTGATAGTTGATAACTGATACCGTGTTATTAGCTATTGTTTGTTTGTATGTGACAGGTATGGGCGGCATGATTTGGTATGATATGATTCGGTTTAATACAGACTCACATGAAACGACATATGATACAGATGCAGATGCAGCATACCTGGTCACTTGCTGCTGGTTTGCTTCCGCCGGGTACAGATGGAGGGGGATCAAAACATTGAAGTAATTCAGCCATGACAGCAACGGAGAAGTGATATCATGACCCCTAACTTGGCTTGAAGACAAACGGCGCAAAATCCCAACCAGTGAAAATAACACATCATAATCATACGTCATAAATCAAAAAACAAAAAAGAAAGAGAGAGAGAGAGAGAGAAAAAGAGAGAAGCCAACATGAATTTCAAAGTAAGATTGAATTCAAACCTTTTTGGAACAATCAGAAAACAGACTTCATAGTTACAGAAATTCATGGTCAAAATTCAGTAGTTCAACGCGTTGTTCTATCTTTTTGGGCGCAGTCCGCTATTCTCCGGACTGTGCCGTGCATGCTGCAATGGCGCATAGTGGCGGGCCACTGGCGGTTGCGCTCTCTGGGGGGGACAGCGAGTTGGAAACTGGATCACCTGAAACTCAGCTAGATTTGCCCGAGATCCCAGACACCTTGACCGAAGTCGGCGCCGTCATGCCTATCTACACCCAGGTTTCTTCTATGAACCGGGACTTGATGAAAGAGCTCAGCCCTGACGGATTCGAGAAGTACGGGAAGTTCCTGGCAGATGTGGAGTCCAAGTTGCATGAATTAACAGATTCCTTCAAGGTTTCCACTGCCCAATTGAAGAACCTTTGTCTGAAGTACAGGTGTCTAGGCTGCCATTGAGCTTGAACTACTTTCTGCTTTGGATGGTTGATTCTCTGGGTTTCGATTTTGGATGGTTGATTTTCTTGGGTTGATTTTGGTCTTGGTTTGGAATATCTTTGATCGAATTTGAAAGTATGGGGTTCTTTCTTTCCATGTTCATTACAGGAAAGTCGTTGCTGCGGCGGGTGAGTGGCAAATGGAGCCTGTTGCCTGGATGTTCGAGGGCAGCCCGGATGTGGACGCGGACGTGGAGATGATGCTGGAGTTGCGGACTGAACTCTCTGAACTGGTGAAGGCCAGCGAGAAGATCACCGCAGTGGGTCGTGGGCAAGCAGCTTTGGTGAGACCGCTGCACATTTGAAAGGGGTGGCGCTCGAGGCTAAGGAGCCGGTTGGCTTTGATTTTTTTAGTGGTGGATTTGCAGGCTTTACATGAGATGGCAATTCCAAACAAAAGGTAGGATAGTAGTGTGACCGCCTGTTGACTTTATTCATGATGCGGACTGGATTGGCATGACATGACATGATGACTGAAACGATTCAATGAATTGAATCAGGGCGACAACGATAATAACAACACTGACACTAACTGAACAGCTAATATAACTCGTACTTTTACTGATGCTGTACACTGACTCATATACTACACTTTAAACATAGTTTACTGTACTCTTACGGTAAACGATATTCGATATTCGGTGTTTTCGGAGACGGGATTGATAAACGGCAAACGGTAAACACTACGCGGTAAAGGGTTTCGTATGATATCTGGGACAAGAATATCAGCATATCATCTCATATCATCATTATCATATGATTCTCATATCATTGATTTGATTTGATATGATGTCACGTGACATGACGATGATGACGACAAGGTATTCTTTGGGATGGCATGGTACGGTATATGATTTGGACCTGGTTTTGGTCCTGGTCTACGTGACCCCCGCCAGGTGACTTTTTATTGGACATTTTATCTACCATTTTTTTTAACATTCTATCTGGCATTCTATGTGGTATATCTTGCGGGAATCTATATATGTGGTTGAGGGAGCTCGCGGCTGACGTCTGGCGGGGAACACTTTGATCCGGAGCTTGCGGTGGAGGTCTGGCGGGGAACACTTTGCTCCAGAGGTTGCTGTTCGGGTCCCGCGGGGAACACTGCGATCTGCGGTTGCAGTCAAGGTCCGGCAGGGAACCGGCGGGGAACACTTTAAATTCTGCCAGAGGTTGCTGTTCGGGTCCGGCGGGGAACACTGCGATTTAGCGCTTGCAGTTGAGGTCCGGCGGGGAACACTCTGATCCTGAGCTTGCTCTTGGGGTCTGGCGGGGAACACTGCGATCTAGTGCTTGCAGTTGAGGTCCGGCGGAGGAGGCGGAGGAGGAAACAGCGAACATAAAATCTAACAACCCCCGACAGGTGGGGAACTTAATATAATCACAGCGTCGTATTCTCTCAGGACTTTCTATAGAGGCATATAAATGGGAAGACTTTGGAAACGGTATTTTGCATTGAGGGTAGGTTTGTTTGTTTGTTTGTTTGTTTGCTTGCTTGCTTGCTTGCTTGCTTGGTTGTTTGTTTGTTTGTTTGTTTGTTTGTTTCGTTATGTATTGTTTGTTTGTATCGTGATTTGAGCTATATGTTCCTGTCGTGAGTCTTGTCTGAGCAATGGCCGGGCCAGGCCAGTAACCAGATCCGACTGTACTGACATGATTTTGTACTACCATGAGCCCATTCTAAATGTTGTATGCAGCCATGATTCAAATCAGTGTAACAGTGTAAGAGTCCAATGGCCGATCCGTCATTTGGCGCCTAGAGGAGATTCGCACTGAAGTTGCTGAAACCGTATCTGTCATGGTGGCGGCAGACACGTTTCTCAATCCCAAGCACAAGTCAGTTGTCAGCGCCAGTCTTCCGAAGGCAATGCAGTTTTTGGGCGCCAAGCTTGGCATGACCGTGAAGGATTTGCAAACGATCGCTCCGAAACTGGCTTCGCAAATTGCTGAGGTCATGAGCACCAGCGGCAGTGAGTCTAGCCGCAAGAAGAAGGCAGAAGGTTCGCATCCAGAAGAGGATGGTCCCGAAGGCAAGACAGGCAAAAAGAAGCTTCGAAAGTCAGGAGACTGCGGCCGCAAACGTGGCAGGCAGCAAGAAGATCAAGAGGCAGAAGCAGCAGATGAGTGAGCGTAGAGAGGCGTAGAGCCAGAACATGTCAGAACAGCAGAGGCAAAGCACCATAGTCCATAGTAGTTGGGGGTTGGGGGTAGGAGATCATCGGTACTGGATAGCCCATCAAAAATCATGATTTAAATCGCAAACCATAATTATATAAGTGTTATTTGATATTTCTTTGGGGACAAGTCACTTAGGATCTCCTCACTCCTTCTCTCAAAGTTTCTTAAAAGATGTGAAGGGAATGGTTCTTGTCTGATGCTGCAGGGTGTTTTGCCTTGCTGTTGCTTTATCCGGGCAGTTTTGTCAATGAGAATTGACATTTGGCATTGGTGATTGTTTGATGCCACTGCACCAGCATTACGACCTGTTGCATTTTTTGGCGTCAAGAATATTAAGACCAACGTTGGCCATTGGCGACAAATGGCACAAATCAGGGGCACAAAAGGAGAAAAGGGAAGGAAGGGGTGAGGCTTATTGAGGATAGTGAAAGCAATGGCTTCCTGTTCCTGCTACCCAGCTTTGACAGCAAAACTCCAGATCTCATCGCACCGACACTTGAGAGGGGGCAGCTTGGAGTTGTCTCCAGTGAGGCATCCTGGTGTGTACCCTTCACCCTGTTGCAGCGTAGTTAAGTGTAATGGTTTGTTTCCTTTTGTCCTCCGCTCCAAGATGTTCCAGGCTCCAGGACCCCTGTCACAATTGGAATTATCTATCCTCTATGATCTTATGACTAACTTTTACAGAATTATATCATATCACAGATCACATCACAAATTTCCTTATAGTTCCTAACAATTTTCCCAATAGTTTCTGCAGGTTTTTGTTATAGTCCCACCAAAACTCCCCAATAGTTTCTGATAGTGCTTTCTGGCCACAGACAAATCGCCTCCCAGCAGTTCCAACACATGCATGATGCTACGCTGCTGTACGTCTTCTTGCACGTCCTCACATACATGATGCTACGCTGCTGTACGTCGTCTTGCACTTCCTCACATACATGATGCTACGCTGCTGTACGTCGTCTTGCACTTCCTCACATATATGATGCTACGCTAGTGTACGTCGTCTTGCACTTCCTCACATACATGATGCAACGCTACTGTATGTCGTCTTGCACTTCCTCACATATATGATGTTACGTTAGTCTACGTTAGTCTTGCTCAATGGCAAAAATTGGACGCATGTTAGCGCTTGGCAGTGGAGATGGGAAAACAGTTCCCACAAAAACCTCTCCAAGCTCACTGCAGAAATTGTGAAGAACACTTAGCGCAGAAAAAAAGAGAGTGCCTCTGAGGTTTTTTTACATATCCAGTGAAAAGTACGCGCGTACTTTTAAGGAAATTGAACTTTGAGAGAGATGCAAAACCACTGTGATTTGTGGTATGAAATCAATGACGAACACTGCAAACGTTGAAAACGCGGGTTCGATAAACAACCCGCCGGGATGTTTATCGATAACCAAAATTATATATGCTGCTGATTCCATCAGATCAATTCTTCCAGTATTTGAATCTGTAGTTGGAGCCGGTTAGCCTGCTGGGGGCTTGGCAGATTTTTACCTGAGGGTACCCAACTGCTGTGCCACTTCTATTTCTGGAGGCGGCTTTTCAAGCATATCGGATTTATCTTCAGATTCTTTTGAATCATCCTATAGATATAATTGTGTATATTTATATATATATAATAAAATATGTATGGACAATTTATGTGTATATTTCATATTAGATCCTTTTCTTTATATACCTATAAATTACTATAAATGTGTATATAGTTATATATGTATGTATGTATGATCAAATTGTTGATCATATTAGATCATCTAGATTTGTATTTTTCATCAACCACTGCTTTTCCGATCCCCCCCAAAAAAAACACAGCCAATTTGCACCAGTCACCACGACCCCTCTTCCCAGTCCCTGGGAATCCCTGACTGTATTGGCCCGGGGCTTATGACCGTCCGCTCTTCCCTTGGTTTTTCGGCACGTGGCAGCTGGATTTACCACATCGGAACTATATGAACTATTCATTTTTGGGCTGGATTCCTGGATGCTGCTGACCTATACACCCATATGGATCCATATGGCAGAATGGTTCTTGTTGTGAAAACATGTGGGACTCGTCCTAAGGAACACCCTTGGAATTTCAAGTCTAATTAAAATGTAAATGTACTGAACCTTCTCACTCTATGCCAAGGGCACCGTGTGAGTCAGTGGGAAACTTCTGTGGATTAATATGATGAACAGCCTTCCAGGGAGGTATAGCCTTCCAGGGAGGTAAATTCTATGAGCACAGCTTGGCTTCTTTAACACGGCCAGGCTACGAAATCGTACGAAACACAGGATCTCAAAAAGTCCTTTTGGTGTTGAATATCAGGCAAGTGTAGGGTGTTCTGTCCCTTTAATGACATGAGTTTTACATTCAGTTTACTGCACTTCCAAGGTTTGTTGATTGAATCCCCACTATGATGCAGGCCGCCGCAAATGACATCATTTTACATCCGGCGTCCGGTGGTTGGTTCGTCAGTGTGAAAACCAACTTCTGTGAGACATCCTGACTTCCAAAAATGCACGGCGGGACAACGGGGGCGTAAAATGATGATCTCAATTCAGCCTCCAAATCATTTGCACCAAACAACAACAAACAGTTGAAGAAGAAGTGTCAGTCGTGAGATCTGCATGGAACTATAATAGAAACCCATGATCCAACCTTAAGTAATTTCACAGCGACTTCCCACCAGCTGGGAATTCTGAAAGCGGGCCCCCTATGTCTGAATCATTCTGAAATAACCACCTCAGCCGAAACCACGGCCCGCTCACCTCACCGGGCCTCCGCAGGCCAAACTTATCTTGGCAAATCGGCAAACTATAATCATTCTGCACATGTTGTGTTATACATAACTATAAAATATAAATAAACTTTGGGGAAATTTGGGGATGTGAACATGTTGTGAGGTTTTTGTAATCTACCCAGATCAATGCTCGAGGCCATATGAACAGCATATGAACAGCCTTTTGAGGGCTTAACCCCACCTAGTTATCAGCCAGGGTTTGTTAATCCAGGGCTGACACTGTGCGTCAGATATGGTTAGATAGGTTTATCGAGTTGCCAATGTCATCCAATGTCGAGGTCATTGCGTCTATATAAAGATTATAAAGCATCAAAATGCATCAAAGCAAACAGAAGCGGAGATTTCGATGACGACGATTACCATCCGGAATTGGTGACAAATACCCGAATGACCAGGCAGTGGCCATTCATCCCCGCACTATGTTCTAACGCCCACTTGTTCGGGTGATGCGCTTAACCAACCAGTTACAACAAAGAGGCAATAGTCCTCAAAATCCCGCAATCATCCGCAATCTAACATCATATATCATCAGAATCATCAAGAGTTTCATGGCTGAGCCCTATCATAGCCCTATCATATCCTTATCTAAATCAACTAACCATAACTATCCTCACTCAACAAACCACAGCCGCTGTCCCATCCCATCCATCCCCACCTTGAGCGGTGCTCCAGTGCTCGCCTTCATGCCGTCCATTCCTCCATGGGTCGACCCTCGGAGATGGCCTTGCGAATCATCGCCTGAAGGTTTGCCTCGCAGCGTTGTTCAGGGACCGGGAGGGATCTGTGGATACTTCAAGGGATCCACGGTGATGTACAGTGTAGGAACATGTAGTAACTATAAGCATAGTAGTACAAGCTCTACAAGTTCTACAAGTATGTAAATCATTGTAAATCTACAATAATCTACAGATGTGTGAAATGAAGCAATACACATTCTCTTGGGCTTGTTCTCTTGGGATGTTTTCGAATATATCCGAACAAGAATGATCAGTGACAGTTGCAGTACACCTCCAGGAGCAAATGGAACAGGCTGAATACAGTGGAATCGTCATGGGTCTTCCCTTGTGGCTACAATTCACTTATGGCTCGGAGCCCTGGTTGGTGTTGACCCATTGAGAAGGATTATGAACCACTTCCGGCTTCCCAACCGTGATGATCATCTTTGCCAACCGAATTAGCACAAGAGGAGTACCATCAAATTCATAAACATTTCCCAAGAAAAACACCACATACCACATGTGTGTCAATACTCAACTTCTCAACCAAACATCTATATCAAACATGTCAAACTATCATAAACTATCTTCAACAATTCTCCAAAATCACCACTTCAGCACAGTTATCTCAGATTTTACAAACATCAACCAGTTCCATCCCAACCAGCAGTCCTGTGTCCCCGACCCCGACACAGCGGCCTGCAACTCACGACGAACACGTTCGGCTCCTGACTGCAAAGCTTCTGCTGCAGCCTTGCCATGAAGACCCACCTCAAGGCGGCAGGGCGCCCCGAAGCGTAAGACACGTGTCTTACACGTGGGAATCAAAAAGCAAACATCGGGGAAAAAGGGGGGAACATTGTAGACATAAGACATAAGCCAAGTCAAATGTGGATTAAACCAACTACCTGGAGTTAATCGAAAATGAACAATATAGCAACAGAACTTGGCATTTCAACTTGGGTTTTGACATGATTTGACATGCAACAAATGGGGCTTTACTGACAAGGCCTTACAATAGGATCTTAAACAAGAACAACATAACCAGAAAACTTGAGGCTTCACAAAATTTTAGATGTGGCAATAACAGCGAGTTAACTTCTGTTTATGTATACTAACAAACGTACGGGAATTCAACAAGAAGTTGCACTTCAGCAAAACAAATATTGAGCTTGATTTCCGAAACGCAATACTCAAAGGACACAGTAATTTACCAATGTACTCCTCTTGATTGTGCTCTTGATGCTGAGCTTCCACTGCGCCACATCCAGCAACAATTTAACATATATAAAACTAACACATAGTCACATAGCGTTATCATAGCATTCAACTTCTCAATCAAGATACAAAGAATACTAATACTATCTAATACTTCAAGCCAGAAACAATGCAGCAATGGAACAAAAACAACGCAAGCACTTGAAAAAATGGGACTATACTTGCCCCAAAGTTTTTCGGCAGCTGCAGCTGTATCCCATCATCCCATCGCATCCCCTGCAGCCATGGCAACAGCTTCCGGACACCCTTCACCGTGTTCTGGGGCTTCCATGCCTGGGGTGCTTTAGAGGGCCTGGACACGTTTTTGATAAGAGGGCCAAGTGCTAAACCCTGTAGCTCCATAGAAAAACCTTGGGATGTGGGTCGAAGAGCTGGTTTTGAATCAAAACCCTCTCAAAACGTACTCGGCATCAGCTGCTGAAATAGACTTGAACTTTGGTTTGACATGGTTTGACACTATTCTTTGACATTTAGTAACACAGCTGCCGGTAAGACACTACCAGGCTCTTTCCAATAGGATGTTTTTTGCCACCCTCCAGTCTGACAGGAAAACCAGTGACTGCATTGGCAATGGGTGATGACGTGCTGCCTCATCTTCTGAAATCTTTAGGTTTTTTGGGCGATTACGCGGTACCCACCAGTGGGCCCACCAGCATCAGAAATCGAAACAATTCAATTCCTGCCAACAAGCTCTTGATACATTTCATCCCAAAGACTCAGTGAAAGTCATAATCCCAACACATGCCAACCTCCCGGCTGCAACCAAGACTCCTTTGGGCTGTGGAATGAATTCTTTGGGTGGTTCTGGTCGGCTCTCTCGGCCTTTTCCGCCGCCACCCTTTCGCTCACCTCCTGATCTATCACGACTATCCCGGCGATCACGGCCACGGCCCCCATCACGGCCCCCATCACGGCCCCCATCACGGCCGCTATCACGGCCGCCATCGCGGCCACCATCCCGGCCACCATCCCGGCCCCGATCGTCTCGGCCGCGGTCATCACGGCCACGTCCCCGGTCATCACGGCCGCGGTCGTCACGGCCATAGCCTCCGCCTCCGCGGTCGTCACGGCCGCGGTCGTAGCCTCGGCGGTCTCGGTCGTCACCGCCACGACGGTCGTCTCGACCACGAGAACGTTCGCGGTCGCGACGATCCCCGCCACCTCCGCCACGGGTGTCTCGATCACCACCGCCACGACGGTCGTCTCCTCCTCCTCGTCCGCCTCCTCCTCCTCCGCCTCCTCCGCTTGGTCGATCTTTGCCTTCCTGGCGACAGGACCAATACACTCTACAACACAATTTGTTTGACCGTGTTTGACCTACTCCATGCCATGCATCCAAGTGCATCCCGAGAAATACTTGGACTTATGGCGCTCTGACCCACTCAGGTTTGGCAGCTCCAAGACGTTCACGAACATGTTTTGCTATAAATCTAACAACTACCATCTTCTGATTCGGAGAAGAGAAAAAAAACGCATTAAACAATGCATCTGATAAGTCAGGAAAACAAAGTACAGAACAACTTGCGCTTCCAATATCTCCAGGTTTCTGCCAATTTGCCAATTGTGATTTTGCTGTTAACTTCTCTGGACTTAACATGACTTAACCATAGAAACAGTGCTCGAAGACACATTTTTCTTGTGCGCCATTTGACATCCAAAACCGTCGTCCAAAACAGCAGTTCCCGGGGTCCCCGGCCTTCTCGTTCTGCAAACGTTCGAGATAACTTCCCTTGCCCGGGCGGCCCGGTGGCCCCAAGGGCTCACCGTTGGCCATTTTCTTCATGATCCTGGTAAACAATTGTGGCCCCCGGCTGGGGTAGGAAAATGAGAATCAAATTATAACTATAATTAGATTTTCCAGATTTTTCTGATTTAGGATTTTTTGGATAGTACATTTAAGGATGACATTGATTCTATACCAAGCATATTTAGGGCTTGGACTTGACTGAAAGAGAACGAAGGGTTCACCAAAAAAACCTTGTGTTTCCACTGACAACCATGCAGGTTTCAATGACATGGCACAGGAATGTGAGCAAAAAGACACAAAGTCACCGACCAAACAGAGAGATTTAACCAATCCTGGGGCTTTCAACGACCATATATGTTTCGGTTGTTTGGCTTTGCGCAAACGCCCGCAAATTCACGCATCCTATAGGGCGCTTTTTTGACGCACTAAAAACCAAAACACCTAAAATAATCTTGTCATTGGAAGATCGAGGTATAAAATATCAAGAGGGGCGTTTCTGGCACACACTGCATGTGCTGGACCTTTCGCCTGCGACAATGGACTCAGCAAAACAACTAGGCTTGGGGCGGTTGACCATTATTACAGGCTGGTGGATGTTTAGGCACGTTTCACGATCCAACAAAACTGCTCATAGAACACGATTGATTGGACCACGCAATTCCTGATTCTCAAATAAAGTGCATACAGCATACTCAGTGTTGGATAGTTTTGGCACATGTTGCTATACAATTTACCCCACGCATTACTATACCCGTCTTGTTGAGGAACAAATCCCAGGGTTTCGAAGGCCCCTTCAAAAAATGCTGCATAGGCCCACAGGATCCACAGTGCAAGTCTAGCTTCATCATGGCAGTGGCAGACGGCTTGCCAGAGCATTCAAAGTGTCTCTCCAAGTCATAGTAATACCTGGCACACACATGGGACGCGAAAAACACAGTCCAAGCTGGGGAAACTTTGGATCAGCAAGAGAACAAAATTTCTTTGTTGGGAGCCATGTGCGATATTTCTCCTAAAGCAAGAGAACATGACACGTCTTCACATTAGCTCACAACCCTTCACCGGTTGACACTTCAACGAACCAGGTCTTTTCAAGTTTTCCAAGTTGCTCTTCCTGCTTTTCCTTCGAACATCGTGCAAGGATATCGGAGATGCTGGTTTCGGCCGTCTTGTCGAGCTTGAACTTCTCCACCAAATATTTCATCCTCTTGTCGCGGTTGATGGCCACAAAGGTTCCATCTTCAATCTCCTTCATCTTGGTCACCAGCATACCACAAGGGGATCTGGCCTTTTCCATGACTTCCCGCAACTTTTTCAAATCCTCATCCCAAGTCTCCGTGCGCTCCTGGCACATGAACAAAACGCAAGGTGTTGAGCATTCCATGCTTTTGTACTATATTTTTTTTCTACGAATACCTGGGTTACCTGGAGACAAAGAGCAATGATTCATCATCCATGACTACGTCTGCATCTTTCCGTATCTTTCTGTTGGTTTCCACCGAAGCAAGAATCTCCGCTCGCCACTCTGGGTTCAGCATCCCCAAGGGCGAGCAGTAGTGGATGAGGATTTTGACACCAGGAGGTATGGTTGCTCAAAAACCTTGATGAACCAATCCATCAACATCCATCAACCAGTCAACTCTAAGACCACAAAATGCAGATATTTTCACTTTAGGCACTTAATGAAGATATTAGTAGTTATATGAACTTATCATAGAAGTGATATTTCCTTATTTTGACTAATTTTCACTTATTTTCACTTATTTTCACTTATTTTTTTAGGATCAGATTTGATTATAGACGATGTATTTTTCTTTTATACGTTTTTTGAAATTAGCCGTCGGTTTTTTTTCCTTTGGAATAAATGATATGTTTTGTCTTTCTTTCAGGAAAGGTATGCTGTCAGGAAAGGACACTTTCTGTAGTGAACAGTTTCTGGGAAATATAATTTAAGGAAAGGACAGTTTCTATATTGAAAACTTCCTGTGAAATATAATTTAAGGAAAGGACAGTTTCTGTAGTGAACAGTTTCTGTAAGGTATACTGTCAGGAAAGGACAGTTTCTGTAGTGAACCGTTTCTGATGAATATAACTTAAGGAAAGGTTAGTTTCTATAATGAAAACCCCCTATGAAATATAATTTAAGGAAAGGACAGTTTCTGTAGTGAAAACTTCCTGTGAAATATAATTTAAGGACAAAACAGTTTCTGTAGTGAACAGTTTCTGGAAAATATAATTTAAGGAAAGGACAGTTTCTGTAGTGAATAGTTTCTGTAAGGTATACTGTTAGGAAAGGACAGTTTATGTAATGAAAACTTCCTGTGAAATATAATTTAAGGACAAAACAGTTTCTGTAGTGAACAGTTTCTGGAAAATATAATTTAAGGAAAGGACAGTTTCTGTAGTGAATAGTTTCTGTAAGGTATACTGTTAGGAAAAGGACAGTTTATGTAGTGAAAACTTCCTGTGAAATATAATTTAAGGAAAGAACAGTTTCTGTAGTGAACAGTTTCTGGAAAATATAATTTAAGGACAAAACAGTTTCTGTAGTGAACAGTTTCTGGAAAATATAATTTAAGGAATTGACAGTTTCTGTATTGAATAGTTTCTGGAAAATTCAGAAAATTCAGAAAATCCAAAAATTCAGAAAATTCAGAATCCAGAAAATTCAGAAATCTTAAAAATCTAGATTCCAGAAGATTTAGAAACCAAAAAAAGAATCTGGAAAAAATAGAAAATCCAGAATCCAGAAAATTCAGAAATCTTAAAAATCTTGATTTCAGAAAATTTAGAAACCAAAAAAATGAATCTAGAAAATTCAGAATCCAGAAAATTCAGAAATCTTAAAAATCTAGATTCCAGAAATTTAGAAACCAAAAAAAAGGAATCTAGAAAATTCAGAATCCAGAAAATTCAGAAAATTCAGAAAACTCAGAAAATTTCAAAAATTTAGAAATTCAGAATTTTCAGAAATTTCAGAAATTCAGAAAATTCAGAAATTCAGAAAATTCAGAAAATTCAGAAAATTCAGAATTTATATATAAATATAAATATATATATATATATTTCAGAAAATTCAGAATTCAGAAAATTCAATAAATTCAGAAAATCCAGAAAATTCAAAATCCACAAACAAAAATAGAATCTGGAAAACATAGAAAATCCAGAATCCAGAAAATTCAGAAATTTATCTAAAAAAAAAACAGAAAATTTAGAAACTAAAAAACTGGAATCTAGAAAATTTAGAAAATTCAGAAGCCAGAAAAATTTGAAACCTTAAAAATCTAGATTCCAGAAAATTTAGAAACCAAAAAAAAAGAATCTGGAAAAAATAGAAAATTCAGAATCCAGAAAATTCAGAAATCTTAAAAATCTAGATTCCAGAAAATTTAGAAACCAAAAAAAAATGGAATCTGGAAAAAATAGAAAATCCAGAATCCAGAAAATTCAGAAATTAAAAAAAAATAGAATCCAGAAAAAAATATAAAAACAAAAAACAATAGAATCCAGAAAATTCAGGAAATCAAAGAAAAATAGGCTCCAGACAATTTAGAAAATCCTAAAGAAAATAGAATCCATATTTTTGTAGAAAACCTAAAAAAATAGAATTCAAAAAATCTAGCCAAAACAAGTTAGAATCCAGAAAAATTAGAAAACCAAAAAAGAAAGAGAATCTAAATTTTTGATTTTTCTTCTTTTGGTTCATCATATTCATGCCAATGTGTCAAAGTTGCCAGAAGCAGATGAAGATGACTTTCAACAGTTTGATTCATTCTTGCATTTTTTTTCTGCAGCTGCAACTCTAAGCTTCTTTGCTTCTTCTGTGCAAGAAAGGTTGTTGAGAGAATTTTTTAGCCTGACATCGTTTCATATCCAGGAAGCATGCACTCCAGAACTTTATCTATTCTTTTAAAACTTCATGACATTTCCAAAAACGATCCTTCACAGGAAATGTTCTTAACACAAAACATTTTTTTCTTGGGAGGAACTATACCACCAAAAAAAAAATATGGCAGTATTTTTCAGAGAATAGTTCCCTATAAGAAAATATTTTTCCAGGCAGTAACCGGCAGAGAACTGTTCCCTACCAGAAAAATAAAAAAAAACAGGCAGTACCCTTGAGAGAACTGTTCCCTAAAGAAATAAATCTTTCCAGGCAGTATCCTGCAGAGAACTGTTCCCTACAAAAGAAACTCTTTCCAGGCAGTATCCGATCACATCTACATTCCTGTAAATCATCCATGAAAAATGCCGAAAAAAAGAAAACATCCTTATTTTCTCTTATTTCACTTATTTTCACTTATGTTCACTTATTTTCACTTATTTTCGCTTCGTTTAACTTACTTGCAAATAATAACCGCCTATATTTGCTTATATCTTCATTATTATGTTATAAGTTCACCTAAAAATTTAGAGGAACTTAAAAGAACATATTTTCAGATCTCATATTTAAACAAGATATTAGGAGGATAATAGTAACTTATAGTATACTTATAAGTTCATTAAGTGCCTGAAGTGCAAATATCTGCTTTTTGTGGTCTTAGCTGTAACCATGGAGCCAGTCAACTGTTTCTTTTTTTTCCGCGATTCACTCTAGTCGACTGTGTCAATGTATGAATAGTGCTTATACGCCTAGTTATCTGCCTGATTTCACCTAATTTTCATGGATGCACTAACTGTGTGTTTTAACTTCATTGTTTTATTGATTACCAAAATTATTGGCTTGGATATTTGGCATTAGTATTATATATAATGGCAAATGTTCTCCCATATCCAAGCCACATATCAACCGTTACACTTCATTGATTAACTGCTATGTTTTAGCAGGATTGTTAGCAATTAATACTCATTGCATACTTCATTGCACTTCAATAAAGTCATGGATGTGCTTTAAGATTGGGCCACAAAACCAAAACATTGTCCCTGTAGGTTCCCCAAAATGGTGGGTTTCCCATTTGGACCGACTCAGCCAATTCAGGTCACTATTAATCACTGTTAATCACTATAAATCACTATTAGTCACTCATTATTAATACTAGTCACTATTATATGATCATTGCTCTTAATCACTATTAATCATTATGAATCCCATTATGTATATCCCCACTACATTCAAGATCGACATGTTTTTTTTTTTTAATGCCAAGGCATTCGCCTAGCCTCCAGATGATTGGCTGGACATGTGTGTCTCAGTCAGGTGACGACTGGTTGGTGGTTTCAACCCCTCTGAAAAATATGACTGTAGTAAGTCGGGATTTTTTTCTTCCCAACTGAATGGAAAAATAAATAAAAAAAAAACATGTTCCAAACCACCAACCAGCTAGTATAGTATAGTGTATGTATGTGTGTATGATATGTGTATATATGATATGTGTTTGGATATTGGTACACACATCTATATATACATATATATATATAGAAACCATTGTTGTAATTTATATAAATGGGGATATTCCCTTAATCTATAGTGACTACTGGCTGATATACGATTTTACCGCGTCCCCCGTTCCTTCATCAGCTCGTTGAGCTTCTCAACATGACGTTCCTCCACGTAGAAGGCGTCGCAAAGCTCTCGGATGTCGGGATGGATCCTGCGGGAATTATATGTGAAACATATAATAATATATATGTCAAACCTGTGATCTTCAACCACTTATAGCATATTCGTTTATAGTATGCATATTCCTAGTTATGCGTAAAATTATTCTATATATTTCTATATATTCAATACGTCGCGAGAACATGTCATTTCTGTCCTTTTTCGGCTGAGTCAGTGGGTGACATCATCAGAAAATATCTTTCCAACGTTGCAAGGCCAAGTTGGCTTCAAAAAATGAATCAAGTTGAATCAAGGTAAGCCAATAAGGCCAATAGTGAAATCCAACCCCACGCCCATCAATAGGGTGAACACATGTCATTTCTTATAGCCTAGCCAGTTAAAGCAAGCTTTCCCATTGCCACACCTGCCGTGCTCCGAAATGTAGCCCGCTTCCATGTCCCCACGTTTCGACACACCGCATCTCCAGCAGTTGAACCTCGGCGGCAACGTGGAAGTTGATGATGAACTACCAGGAGGAAACAACAGACTAAAATGGTTACCCTCTGGTAAACTAACATAACTATGGAAAATCACAATTTTTAATGGGAAAATCCACTATAAATGGTCATTTTCAATAGCTATGTTAAATTACCAGAGGGTAATGATCATTAACAGTGAATGGTCAATGAAAAAAAGTGATGGTTAAATGATTTAAATGGTTAATGTCAGTGATTTGGGGCTTTCCTAAGTCATGGGGGTACCCGGGGTACCCCTAAATCATCCATTTTTGTTTAAATTTTCCATGAAATAAACCATCCAGCGGGGATAGCCCCATCTACCATATTCAAACACAACCGATCTGGATTTCAATCTTGAGTTCCGATTCGTCAGAATTTCCCAAACCACCACAGCCCCCACTGAAAAATATGACCAGTTCCCACTGATTTTACCAAACATAGGTCCAGTTAAGGGAACATTACCCCTCAGTTTGGAATATCAAAACGCGAGTCAGTGAGTTCCAAATCTCTCAGCAGCCAAGAAACTTGGAGGCATATACGTTGGCATCGCACCTAGGGCATGTCCAATCTCCTGGTTTGAGACCTGGTTTGATCACCCACTCTTTCTTCGCGCCTGCCAGGACAAGTAAAACTGAGCCATCCCCATACGTTAGGTACTGGTAGTCTACCGACAATGTCTTCCTTTTAGAGATAAGAACATGGATCTAACCAGCAGTTTTTCAGCACACTGTGGTTTAAATTAGCCGAACGCATATGGATTGCCAGTGCTAGATGGTGATAAATCTCCGAAAGTTATGCTCTCTTAACCCCCAACAATGTCCTATGATTAAAAAACGGGTCGGTCTTCATTTCTACCTACTGGGAAAAATTATGGGTTAACTCCTCTTGTTAGTCTAGTCAACCAAGCAGCGGGGAAAACACCTACGTTCATCAAGTTTTCCAGATATCCAGTCATGCAGATTCATGCATCCTCCATATGATTTGTTCATGAGGAACCAACCCCAGAAACTTGACCCCCTCAAAAGGGAAGGCCGCATTTAGGGCTGAACCACCAACCACTAATGGACAGAGCTTGTCAACCATCTATGTTATTGGGGGAGGGCAGCTTTGGGCAGGGGTCTGGTTCTTGGATTCCCATGTTTGCTTGGATTTGCTGAAGGGGCGCCCTCCCAAAATAAACCAAAATCATTCATTTCTGGCGGAGTTTTCGGAAAATCACCAAACCAAAATCCCAAAAATCAGCTGAAGCAAAGCAGCCCCCCAGCGGCCCCCAGGGGCTCCTTCGCTCCCGGCGTCGGAAATGGCTGCTGCTGGGCCGGGGGCTCCCCGTGCTCCGCCTCTCGGCGCCGGCAGGGCCGCCATCTGTGCCTGTGCTAAGGGGAGACTGCCTCAGTCGCACATGGCCATGGTGGATGATCCAGAAAGTTGGGGCCAAATGTTGGTCAAAGTTGGAATGGAACTAAAACAAATGTGATTTTTTTGGAATAATATTTTGGGATATATATATAATATAATATATATATATATATGTGTATATTTGTTTATGGACAAGATTCGGATGACAAAGTAGCTGTAGCGGCAAAGCGGGAAACTTTACTCAAAGAAGTTTGGATTTTACGTAGTTAAATTGGGATTTTCCGCAGACAAGATAGTAACGGATTAGATTTTAAAACCATTGAAAACGTATGAAACAGGGAATTGACCTCCAAAAATTCGATCCTACCAGCAAGTCTATAACTTTTTTCTCTGCTGTGAGGAGCAAAAAACGGGAAGAAGAAGCTTCAAATGTCTGGAAGCTGACCAGCCGCAAAGCTATGGATTCAACAATGGAAAATTGCACAGTGATAGATGGTTTACCTATTAAAATGATAAAAACACGTTGTGATTTTCAATAGCTAAAGAGGTAAATGTCTTGTTAAATGTCCGGTATATTCTAAGCCCCACTTGGGTTGATGTCAGAAAATCATAGGCTTTTCACCTAAGATGCATATAATTGTATATGATATATGTTCTGCTGTACTGTGTGTTATCTAATTATATTACATAATCACCAATATCCGAATGCTAAAAGGCACTTGAAACAAGAATCAACTGACGATACCATTTTGTCAATGAAAAAACATTGCACTGTTGAAATTCAGTAGCTACACCTGCTTTGTTTTCAGACTCGACCGGCGGTTCTTTCAACTAGGCACGCCAATACATCCCACCAGTAAAACTTAAAAAAAAACATGGCAGAAACCCCACAACCCTGGCAACTTTCTTCGCACCACCCACTCAAGGGAACCTTTCAGGTACCTAAATTGGAGGTAGTGCACCGATGCACCGACACTTTTTCTAGGTCTACAAGGCCCATGTAAGGAAAGATATATGTATGCCATAACATGACCTGATATGGCACACTATCTCTAGTTTACCTAAATGAAGGAACCATTGACAATTTCTATCAACTTATTTCCGGGAAGAACGCAAATAAAAAACAAAATCACTCCCAACATCAAGTATCGAGACATGACTTATTACCTCTCTTGAGACGGAAAACACAACAGTGTTGATACTACCCACCAACCAGCTACAGATATATACACACACACAGATACATATATATATATAAAAATACAAAAACAATTATCTATCTTTGATCTGGCCTTTTTCTGCTTATCTTCTCGTCCATTGCTTACCTTGAAATCCAGCGTTCCTTTTCTCAAAGGGCAGTCGCAAATCCCATGTTGTTGATCATCTATATCCTACTATATCCCATTTGCATCCCCATAAACGTGCAAAATTAGCCCAATCAGTCTAACTAAGTCAATCCAAATCAGTCCAAATCAATCTAAATCAATCCATATCTTTGATGCAAAATCACCCATTTCTTGAATTCATTTTACCCATTTCTTGTTGCGGAATTCCAAACGCCAAGCCACCCATCCCTGCCATCAGGGCCATGGGATTGGGCCTTGGTGCACCCCATCGGGCCAGAGACGCTAGATCAAGAATCCATGGGCAACAAAAAGATGCTATTTTGCTAGGTAGATAAGATTAGATAAGATATGATAAGATAAGATAATATTAGATAACATTAGATTGGATTGAGATTAGATAAGATGAGATTTGATAAGATAAAATAATATTAGATAACATTAGATTAGATTAAGATTAGATAAGATTAGATAAGATATGATAAGATAAGATAATATTAGATAAAATTAGATTAGATTGAGATTAGATAAGATTAGATAAGATATGATAAGATAAGATAATATTAGATAACATTAGATTAGATTGAGATTAGATAAGATGAGATTTGATAAGATAAAATAATATTAGATAACATTAGATTAGATTGAGATTAGATAAGATTAGATAAGATTTGATAAGATAAGATAATATTAGATAAAATTAGATTAGATTGAGATTAGATAAGATTAGATAAGATATGATAAGATAAGATAATATTAGATAACATTAGATTAGATTGAGATTAGATAAGATGAGATTTGATAAGGTAAGATAATATTAGATAAAATTAGATTAGATTGAGATTAGATAAGATTAGATAAGATTAGATAAGATATGATAAGATAAGATAATATTAGATAACATTAGATTAGATTGAGATTAGATAAGATGAGATTTGATAAGATAAAATAATATTAGATAAAATTAGATTAGATTGAGATTAGATAAGATTAGATAAGATATGATAAGATAAGAAAATATTAGATAACATTAGATTAGATTGAGATTAGATAAGATGAGATTTGATAAGATAAAATAATATTAGATAACATTAGATTAGATTAAGATTAGATAAGATTGAGATTTGATAAGATTAGATAAGATATGATAAGATAAGATAATATTAGATAACATTAGATTAGATTGAGATTAGATAAGATGAGATTTGATAAGGTAAGATAATATTAGATAAAATTAGATTAGATTGAGATTAGATAAGATTAGATAAGATATGATAAGATAAGATAATATTAGATAACATTAGATTAGATTGAGATTAGATAAGATGAGATTTGATAAGATAAAACAATATTAGATAACATTAGATTAGATTAAGATACAATTAGATAAGATAATATTATATTAAGATTAGATAATATTATATCCGATTAGATTAGATTAGATTAGGTAGATAAGATAAAATAAGATTAGATAGATAGATAGCTAGCTAGCTAGCTAGATAGCTAGACCCTCCAAATACCTCTAAAAAATGGTATGTGTGTACTGTATATATATATACATCTATTTATCAAAGTACTACAATTATGTAGTAACATATTTTTTGGTGGCTACTTAGAGGGTCTGGGTGTGTGTAAATATAGGCATATAGTCATATTAACATATTGGATTCTAATTCCATAATTTAATGTATGTGCCAATGTAATAATAATAATGCGAATCGTAAGGATAATCATAATAATACGCAGAACAATACTATAAAAGTGGGGCTGTTGAATGGAAAAATCGGCTATTTAGTTGATATTATCTAATGGGCTAATACTGGGATAATCGGCCAATCGGTGTACCCAGTGCAATCCTATGAAATTGGCCATGGATCATCCAGATCCTGCTAGCCTTCTCTTCATATGAAAATCCATGGGATTTATGGATGTTTATCCCCAAACATGGTATAAGTCTAATAGACGATGATACATTAACATACACACACACACATATATATATATATCCATATACCCACATAGAAGGTATGGAACACGTCCTAGCAAATTGTAGCCCCTAAATCCATTGGTCGATCATCATTTTCCTCATCAAAATTATACAATTGGCTCACGGGAAACTGTGTCCCAACATGCTGGGGTTTCCGAGGGAAACTTGACATATTTATGTGGTAAAACCAATAGTAAACCATGAACATATATGAAAAGATCTATTGTTTATTAATTGGATTTTGAGCACAATCGATCAATTCTGATTTTGTCAACTCGAAACCACTTCCTCATCCGGTACTCATCATCCCTATCGGCCCTATAGGGGGTTCCATCCAGATCAACTTGTCTCCATTTATATAGATGTATATATATGTATATATAATATCCGTACATATCATTACAGATCTATAATCGATGGAATGAATAAACCAAACAAACGTCACTGGTGGGCAGTCCCATGCCCGAGCCGAGCCGCATGCCCGGCATTGCGCCCGGCATTGCCCCAGGCATTGCCCCCGGCATGGCCGGCGGCATGCCTGGCATACCTGGGGTGGACATGCCCATCATCTGCTGGAGCCTGGAAAACCTCAGTCCCCGCCGAGCCCAAGGCGGCCCAAGACCTGAAAAAACTTGCCATCATTGCAGTGATCTATGTGTATCTCTATTAATCTATCTCACTGTCTATCTGTTTCTCTATCAATCTATCCACAAGCAGCAATTTGGATACATGCCTGGGCCTACGTATGATGCACAAGTCTATTTATAAGCCAAGGCTTCAACGGTGCCAGTGATCCCACACGGACATTTTCGCCATGCACCAAGTCACGTGCTTTGGATGTCCTGCATTGAACCCCCTCCACCGCTGCAGCCGCCACAGCCACCACAGCCGCCTCCCTCATTGCCGGTCTTTTGTTTTCGTCCCATGGCGTCGTTGCTTGGCCGCCGGTGGGCCGGGGAAATCCACTAAGTCCCGGGCGAGCCCCGGTCCGATCACGCCCGCAAAAACCCAAGGGCCCCAAGTCACCAGGTGGGATGATACCCTAATCCCTGTGATGCGTGAGAATTGAAGAACATATGCTGCTGATGTTCCGTACTTTTTCAGCCAACTAGCGTGGCCTGACCTGACAAACAATCTTCTGATTCCATGTGGAGTTGAGCAAAATAAAGCGCCGGGTGGTCATTCAGCTTGAATCGATTCCCCATTCTGCTGAATTTTCACCAGTGGGGATATACAAATCCTGGCAGCAAATCCTAGTTTGGACCTTGGAAATGGTCCATTTGGTAGATGATTGACCTGTAAGTCTCTAATCTCTAAGGCCATTTCCAGATGAAGGTCAATTTAAGGAGGTTCAGTTTCCTAAGTCTTAGCCGGCCTACCCCTGTTCATCATCATCCATTTATAGATAGGGATTTTCGAAATACCCTCTGGTAAACTAACATAGCTATTGAAAATTGCCATTTATAGTGGATTTTCCCATTAAAAATGGTGATTTTCCATAGTTATGTTAGTTTACCAGAGGGTAAACCATCCAGCTATTGGGGGTACCCCTAAAACCCAGACCTGCTCGTCCAGCCAGAGTCCCCCGACGGCTCCGGCATGCTGCGCTCATAGCTGATGTCGTAGAGCAATCGGCTGCGCGGCCTTATTTTTCTGACAAAAAAAATGGGGCCAACCGTACTGAGAGTCAGGATTGATTTATTCATTTTTTTTCAAGGTCCCAAGGTTGAAGAACAATTTCATATATAGTTTAAATATGTGTTTTTATATATATATATATCCACTATACCCAGGGTCTAGAATGGTTTATGTATGTTTATGTAACATGTTGTAACCCATCATGTGCAGTTGGCGCATGTTTGGGTATACTGAATGATGGCCATAGCTGGGCCGGAAACAAGCAGGAATAGATTTTTTGGGATGTTTCTTTGCAGTAAAACACCGTTATATTTCATAGTAAGGATCTTAAACTACTCTTTTTTGCCAACCCTTCAATGTTCTGGAAGTCCAAGGTACATGGTTTTCGCCCATCTTAAAAAACACATCGAAGCCACATGCTTCACACCCTCACTTATCCCCAGTTCTGTTCCCCACCCCAGTTTCAAGGATTCCGTCCCCCTATATCCTTCTGGGTGCAGTTGCACCAATAGGTGGGTTACAGAACCATTGCTGTGAGGGTTTTGAATCCCAACTTATGAGGCTTTGAATCCCATAGTTATACCCATTAACATTAGCAAAGCAGTAGTAAACCATCTCAAAATTTACCATTTCTGGTGGTATATATACTATTAACCATACTTGTTCCCATACTTGTACCCATAGATTAAAAAAAAAAAACAACGCAGTCGTGACCAGTTGTAGCCAACTTTTGGAGGTTCAAATCCCATATAGTTTTTGCTGTTGGTCATTTAATATAGCTATGGTATATGAACCGTTTACTTCGATGATTTACCATGCCTATTAAAGATAGACATTAATGTGAATTTCCAGTTCACTACATGAACAAAAATCGTCCAGTTATAGATGATTATTAATTATGGATTTTCTTCATCTATATAGCCATTGATAGAAGATACATCGCCTTCCCGAAGATGTTCCTATGATTTTCCATAGAAATTGAGAAGCTTTGTCACACATGTCAGGCCACAGATGGATAATAGATTTCAAATGTTCGGATTTCTCCATCTGTCACTGTGGTTGCGAAATCCTGCACCTTATGGGATGCTTTATCCCATGATTTATACTGGTTGGTGGTTTTAACCATCTTGAAAAATATTAGTCAATGGGAAGGATGACATCCCATATATTATGGACAATAAAAAATTGAAACCAACCAGTCACCATTTTTATAAGCTATTCCCAGTCATGGCTGGTTTATGGCATTGTTTTACCCACATTGAAACCACCAACCAGTCCCATGATTTCTAGGGCTGGAAAAACCATCCACTCCAAGGCCGGGCCACTGGATGTAGTAGTTGGCCACCGTGGGCAAGGCCGACTCCCCCTCTGACTTGGGCGAATCCGGGGCAGGCACCACCGACTTCTTCACGAGAACCTGACCGGTCAAAAATGGGGGGAGCCATGAAAAAGTGGGGATTTTGTTCAGCGATTATTCGCCATGCAAATATGACGATTTTATACGATTTTCACAAAAAAAATGCTAAATCGAGTGGCTTGCCGGGCATGCCCCATTTGTAGACACTCGTAAGAGGAAGAAATTGGGTGTCAATTTTTTTGGGGGATAATCTTTAATCTCATGTTTGAGGAATTCTCGTTAAGAACTTGACATATGTTGAATTACAAATGTAGAAAACCAACTGGACATCTTTAGGCTACACGCTTTAAGAACATTGAAAATGGAAAGCATCTGGAAGTCACAGCAAGGTCAGCGCAGCGTTTTTTTTTCGCCCAATCTCTCTGTGATTTTCTATCAGTGGATGGCAGAAATCCTGCACCAGTTGATAGGTGGTTTATCCCATGTTATCCCATTATTCATAAGGTTTCAACATGTTTGAACCCTCCAAGGTTGTAGGAGCAGCAAATGATGAATCAACATCAGCCCCGTGAACAGCATCACCATCTGGCAGTGAAGGGATCTGATTTGCACAAAATATGACGATCAAAAAAATAAAATTTACAGGATGGTGCCCCCAGTTAAAAGTTGGTTTATAATAGTTTATAACCCGATCTAAATATAATTATACGTAAGTATCATACACAACATTGTTATCATTATAAACCAACTTAGCCAACTATGGCCCCCCATCCCGGACAGTAGAATAGCGAAAACAAAGTGAAACAACACCCAGGGGCCCAGTCATCGACTCTGGCATGGGAGCTGCCCCATGCCGTAACTTCCCAAGAATTTGCGAGAACCCTAGAAATCGGTGAGCGGATTGAGATGTCACCTTCTTATTTTGACTTCAAGAAGTTAATCCATCAAGGAAGTTAATCATCTGTTCTTATCTGTTAATTATTATATACCTTTTCAGTACTCATCCCAACATGTGTTTTGTACTTTACAGATTGGATACTGTACCATTTTCCAGACCAACATGTTGGACACTGTTGAGTATGCTTGCACAACAATGAATGCCTTTGCTCATGGATTCTTCAATCATAAAAAAATCTCGAGGGTAAACTCACATCATCCCCCATCTGAATCTATGTTTGTTTACCTTTAGGCGAAACGAAGGTTTCCCATTGATTTCTACGGGAAAGCCATCTGATCCATGGTGAAACCCGGAGAATGATCTATACAATGTGGGCGCCCCCAGTGATGTTAGTTGGTTTAGATTCGCCCCAGTAACTAGTTCGTTATTTGCGTACCATAAACCATAGTGACATTGGAGTTATGTGCACCAACTGAACGCTATGTAACGGGGGCCTCACATTGATCGATCCATGCCTTGTTTTCCCCCATGGTGAAACACCATGTTTCACCCATGTTTCACCTCCGAAGCGCTGAAGGTCAACAAGGAGGAGATGGGCGTCCCAAAGACCTGGCGTTTTTTGGATCAGATGGACCTATAGAACCCACCTGTAACCATAACCCCCCCAAACATCTTCTATTTAGGTGATATTTATAACATTTTATAACCATAACCGCCCAAAAATATTTATATACAAGTTAATTATAGATCTATTATATAATTATCGTTATTAAGTTGACCTCCCAAAAATGGGGAGTCACTTTTTGGGAGATCAACTATACATGGCGACCTTGAAATCCTCTTGGAGGGATTGGTTTCCTCCATTAAATATCGCAAAAATGTTTGATGTTGATCGAAGATTCGTGCACATTCTAGATACAAGGTTTCCCTAACATCAAAAATGGATCCGCCGGATTTACATGTTGCTCCCGCGCAGAACTTGGCAACAAAAGCATCAAACAAATATCGATAGCCGTTGATGCACTTTGCCATGGGCCTTTCACCAACTTCAGGATTCGCATGTCTGTCATTGTCTGAACTGTTCAACCCTTTTTCAATTTGAAATTTGTACATGACAAAAACACGCAGGACATCAACTGGAGCTCCAATCAATTTGTTTAAATCAGCCAAGGGGAAGATTGACCTTCCACAACACTTCCCCTTCTATGGTCTATATCTCAAACACTCCTAAAAGACACGAAACAACTTTTGACATCTAGGGATTTCATAGAGTTTCATGACATTTTCATTTTCGAGGTCCCATCGAAGTCCGTTGCTGCCAAAAAGGGCCCTTTTTGAAGGGACTGCCATGCCGTGCCATACCTCCCAGCTCTTTACATCGTCTTTCAGCTTGGTCACATCCACCATCAAAGCCGTCCGCTCCTCCCCATCCCCACCACCATGGCAGCCAGGAATTCAACGCTGGGAAGGTTCCCCGAAAACAGAATGGGATATTCTGGGATTAAAGTGATACGGAGAAAACTTGAGATTTTAACACGTGTGTTCAATCTTTTGCAGATTTTGAGCGCTTTGAACAACATGATTTCACCCCCTTGAAATACGGTCACTGTTGAGGTCGAACATCTCCAACGGAAAAGTCCCTCCTTCTAGGCCTCATGGTTTGGAAATGAGGTCCTCTTGGAGTTGTTTGTCAAAATGATCCATGACCAATCTTGGATATCCGTTCCAAACAGCTCAGGGTAGCTCTAACCCTATCTTCGTGCCCTTAAAGGATGCTACACATCCTCAGTGATGAAGGTGGCCGCTGCATAACCTTGGCACCAAGGTGGAGTTTCCTGGGAATCTCCAAACTATTTTAGCAACTTCTTGGAATGGGGGAAGTTCCACCCAAGACAGGAAGGTGAGTGACTCAGAAGTGATTTGAGGATTCTTGGTTGGTTCTTTGGGGGGGCTCACAAGAATCTAACGTTCAACTTCTACATCAATTTAAACCGGCGTGTCTTCTACTTGGGTTCCCGAAAAATAAAAAAATCCCTACAGATTCCCAAAGTAGTGGATTCCCCATTGGGAACATAAGTCGCCTCAATATCAAATCATCACAGCAGAGAATCCGGGTCTAATCCCTCATTTATATCATTTTCCCAGCTATAAATCTCCATTTAGTTCGGGGAGTTTCCAAGCAACCGATGGTGTAGCCCAGATCGCAGTCGAAATTCGAAGGCATTGCTGCACCTCGCAAGGCTGTTTTGCGGTGAACAGAATGACACGCTTGGTAACATGTTGATCAATTATGATTAGCTACTGAAAATTGAATGTGGAATGTTGAACCCCGTAGGATCCATGTATGCTATATATGGTAACATTTACCATCAATATACCCCAGTCATGTTAGCATATATACCAGCACCATGGATCCTATGGGAACAGAAGTGGTGAACACTGATCAGAGTCGACTGGGACCATCCGCATCCCCACCATCGATTCGGATCAAACATGGCCAGGATGAACCAAGTACAGGGGCCCACCTAAGCCGGATGATAACATGTTATAAGCCACTAAGATCCACTAAGCTAATTCGGAATGGAAAATGATGAGGGATCTAAGATGATCTAAGAGGATCTAAGGTGAGATGGGGAAACTAAACCAACTTCGTTTCTCTAGGGCCATCTACAGGGGCACCAGCTGAGCACTTCAGTGGGGTGCCAAGGATCAAACGCGCTTGGTATGGCAAGGAATAACTGATGGCCTGCGGAGAACTTCTGACCCGTTGGCCCGGGCTCATTCGGGTATTTTCCGACCAAATCCAAAGTTGTGGGGTGTTTTTGAGTACCTCACAGACCAATGGCTTTTAACCATTGTCATTTTTCTTGGTGATTTGGGTTCACTATTGGAAACCCTCCTCTTTATAGAGTAAGGAAGATCGTAGGGAATGTGTGTCAAAAAGTAGGCCAAAAAACCTAGGTTAGGCCGTACCCATCGAAAGCTCTAGACCCAAAACATCCCACGGCGCACCAACAAATGCAAAAAACAACTAGTATGGCAAGGTACTTTTAAAAGTATATCTCAAAAATATCCCTAGCTTAAAAATCATATTGATTGTTGTTGGTTACGCATCCCTCTCTCTTTCTCTCCATATATATTTATATATACATATATACATACACACACACACATATATATATATATATACACATATACATATATACATATATATATATAACATGATTGGCCCAGTACTTATAAAACTTCTAAAGGCTCATCTCAAATGCACCTCCCAATCAGCGGTCTTCGCACCTGAAAAGGACCTTTGTAGCTCCCTGCCACCACACGACGCGTCAGTTCAGCTTCCACCAAGATGCGAAAGATGTTCTGCCGACAGCTAGGGCTTGGGGAACCTGGGGATTTATTACCATTATAGCTTTATTTGGGGCTGTATAACTACAAATTACAATTTGGGAATCTGGGTAATCTCTATAATTTTCTGAATCATTACAAATTGTGACACTTATAAAAAAGCTGGTCCCACACCAATGACATATTCAATGGATTGGTTTAAGGGAAAATTTACAGGAAAACACCAAATTTAATGGGAAAATCTATGGTTTCCGGTTAAGATTTTCCCTTAAGCCAATCCATTGAGATATAAAAACATATTAGGAGACATGGATAGAACATGTGAGAAACGACAGTAAACCTCCATTGAGTTCCAAGATTAACCCAGCTTTGCAACCCAACAGCATACCTGAATCTTCCACCTACGTCTTTTTTCAGACCCTGTGCCAAAGTCCTGTTTTTTCAGTACCCAGAAAACTTTTCAGGACCTACTCTCAAATTCAGGACCTGGCCATTTTGGGGTATCAATGGTAATGGCAATCATTGGGTGCAAACATGTGAAACCAACATTTGGTGGATATTCAAGCCATTGGCATTGATCCACGCAAATAAAACTCCCAGCCCAAACTCATGGCAAGGCAGGATCAGAATATAGTATATTCCAGAAAGTATGTCAGAATAGATGCCAGATAGGATGCCAGAAAGAATGTCAAATAGAATCTCAGAAAAGAATGTAAGATAGTATGTCAGAACATATATGCCACATATACGTCCAGATGATATGTCAGAAACTATGTCAGAATAGTGTGTCAGGGTGGGGATCACTCTTAGTAAGGCAATTTTGAAAATATATTTCAGGTTCGGAATTTTCAAACTGTTGTCCTTCAGGCGCCGAAGCTCCCGTTGAAGGTCAGCATCGCCCCATGTCAACTGGTCCAGTCCCACTTCCATTTCAACAAGTCCAACTTCATCGATTAGGGTGTTGGTTGAATGGACTTGGGACTCTAGCTGGCACGGCATCCCTTGTAACCCTGTAGACACTGTAGTGGGCAAAAAGATTGTAACACACAGAATCAGCATCATTTTGATCAGGCATTTTTTTTGCTAATCCTTTCTCCCTATTTCGAAAAATACCCCCAAATGACAAAAACTAGGTGCGATTTCCAATTTTGGGAAATGTCAAATTGGTTACTTTGATTTTTAATTGATCCCCTTGAGGAAACAATTTAAAAAATGAAGGTACCATGTGAGGGTTTCACCCCCAAAGAATAAAAAACTAGTCAACACCGGGGTGTCTTTTATTGGGGTCCGTCCTTTAAAATCGTCAATTTTAGTTTTTTAATTCAGGTGTTGGTGTTTTATTTGATACTAGGCGAAAGCTTCGAAATCCTATTCTTGGCAGTATTCTATTTAAAGATTATTTTCATGGATTTTGAAATTAGAAACAAAAAACGGTTTAATCCCTTCCCCCTGTTGCTAAACAGTCGCCCCTTCACCCACCCACCCAAATAACAAACACCTGGAGGAGTTTTTAGTATTGGGGGGGTCTTTAGTATTAGGGTACGAAGCTTCCCCCTAATACTGATAAAAAACACACACACATATATATATATATACACATATTTCTATTTCAAAATCGATCAGATTTCTTTCTTTTTAAATCCAATTAAAATATGGCAAACAAGTGGATTCCGAAGCTTAATATCAAATAAAAACCCCAACATAAAAAACTATGTATGTTTTTCTATTTCGAAATCGATTAGATTTCCTTTTAAAAATTAAATAAAATATGGCCAAAAAATTGGATGTCGAAGCTTTTCCCTTATATTAAACCCTAATATCATTTTGTTTTTTTTTCCTGTTTCAAAATCGATTAGATTTCCTTTTGAAATCTACTGAAAAAAAACAAAAAATTGATTTTGAAGCTTTCCCCTAATATCAAATTAAAATCCAATTATTAAAATATGTTCAAAAATTGGATTTCGATGCTTCCCCTAATCTTGCATGAAAAATTCCAATATAAAAAACTAAATTTGTTCTATTTCAGAATCGATTAGATTTCCTTGTAAATTCAAATTAAGATATTGCCAGAAATTGGATTTCGAAGCTTTCCCCTCATATTAAACCCTCATATCAAAGACTATTTTTTCTATATCAAAATTCATTAGATTTCCTTTTGAAATCTAATTAGAATATGGTCAAAAATTGGATTTTGAAGTTTTCCCCTCATATTACATTAAAAAAACCAAATATAAAATATTATTTTTCTTTTTTGAAATCGATTCGATTTCCTTTTAAATTGTAGTAACAAAAATAAAAACAAAAACCGGATTTCGAAATGTTTCCTCTAATATTAAATTACCAGCCCCAATATATTAAAAAAAAAAACTGTTTCAAAATCGATTAGTTTTCTGTCTAACATATAATTAAGATATTGCTAAAAATTGGATTTCGAAGTTTTCCCCTAAGATTAAATTAAAAACACTAATAAAAAAAACTGTGTTTTTTTCGATTTCAAGAATCGATTAGATTTCCTTTTGACATCCAGCAAAAATATTGCCAGGAAATGCCAAAAAGTGGATTTCGAAGTTTTCCCCCAATATTATATAAACGTTGTAATATAAAATACTTATTTTTTCGACCTTAAAAGACCCTAGTTTAAAAAATCACCGGGGCTGACTAGTTTTTATTTTTTGGTGGTGAAATCCTGAAATGGGACCTTCATGTTTAATTTGTTTTTGAAAAGGTATCAATTAAAAGTCAAACTGGCCAGCCTGAAATTTCCCAAAATTTAACGCGGACCCTAGTAAAAGGAATCAATGTAATATTTTAGTATTTAGGGTACGTTTAGTAAAAGGAGGTGGGGATTAGTAAGGTTTTCAATTTAATATAAGGGGAAGCTTCGAAATCCAATTTGGCAAGATTTGAGTTAGATTTTGAATAGGAATTCAATCGGTTTTGAAATATAAAGTTCATTTTTTTAAACGAATGTTTTCAATTTAATGTCAGGGGGAAGCTTCGGAATCCAATTTTGGCAATATTTTAGTTAGATGTTATTTAAAAAATGTTTTCCAATTTAGTTTTTTTTAACCAAGGGGGAAGTTTCGCACCCTCATACTAAATACCCACTAAATACAAAAAACTATTCCGTGTGTTCATTATTGGGTGGGGAGGGGCAGACGGTTTATTATGACGCAGGGATTGGTCAGGCATCACTTGCTGGAATTATTGGATTCTTTTGGGATGATTGGTATGATGTTTAGTCAGGCATGGTTCCCTTCAGTCATGCACGATTTTTGCAAAAATCCTATTTAGGCACGACCCCAAAATCCCAGCCCGGCAAATTCCGGCCCGGGCCCGGCAAATTCCGGCCCGCGCCCTGCAAATTCCGGCCCTGCGTTTTTCCAAAATCAGGCAAAACCAGTAAATCAGGTATTAAGTCAGGTGTAGTTACCTTTTAAGTCATTAAGGCTAGTCAGGCATGGTTCCAGTGGGTACCTTTTAATTGTGAAGGCTAGTCAGGCATGGTTCCCTGAATTCAGGGGCATGGGTACCTTTTAATTATGAAGGCTAGTCAGGCATGGGTTCTGTTAAGTCAGGCGTGGGTGGGTACCTCTTAATTATGAAGGCTAGTCAGGCATGGTTCCCTTAAGTCGGGTGTGGTTACGCTTTAAGTCATGAAGGCTAGTCAGGCATGGGTACCTTTTAAGTGATGAAATCTGAATCAGGCGGAGCTCCTATTCTAAATGTGTTAAATCCAATTGTTCAGTGTGGAAAATCGATTTTTTGGTTGGTCTACGGGCAAACCCTGTGTCTTCCAATACCATAGCGTGCTGATGTCGCTTGCCTGCATAATAGTTAAGGCCAAAGCTTAGGTCATCAGTGTGATCCTGAAATGGCGCCACGACCAAGAAGATGACATGTGTAAAATGGGCCCTGGATTAACAAAGGCTGACTAATGAATTTGGAGGATGCCACTAAAGTATGACATGTAATCACTTTTGAGGAGCACTCTATGGCACGCAGCGCGCGCAGCCTGCTTTACGGTTTAGCGTTTGAAAGTTTTAGGCTTTGCCTCTATGGCACGCAGCGTTTGAAAGTTTAACCGTTTACCTCTATGGCAGGCTGTGCGCGCAGTACGCGTTACGGTTTAAAGTTTGAAAGTTTTTGGGTTTATGTGTGTGGCACGCAGTGCGCGCAGCGCGCATTAGGGTTTAGGGTTTGGAAGTTTTATAGTTTATTTTATTGCATGCAGCGTGCACAGCGTGGGTTGAACTTTAGGGTTTCGAAGTTTTAGGGTTAACCTCCATGACACGATGGTTTAGGGTTTGGAGATTTTAAGGGGTACTTCTATGGCACACAGCGCGCGCAGCGCGCCTTAGGGTTTAGGGTTTAGGGTTTGGAAATTTTAGGGTTTACCTCTATGACACGACTGAAAGGGATACTAGGATTGCTCTCCTTGAGCAACAGCTGGCAGAAGCCAGGCGCCAACACAACTTGGCTGTAGCGTCCCCGGTTCCGATTTCCCCCGTCTCGGGTAATGCTCTTATGGACTTACTTGCGGATCCTCCCCAAGAAAACACGGGTCATAGAGTAATCCCTAATGATGAAACTATGGATAACTTCGATCTATTTGAAGGTTATAATCCAGCTCCAGCTCAAACACCAGATGTTCGTGCTAGGCCTTTTGGTTCCCCACAAAATACTTCAGCTCCCCTGCAAGAGGTCGCAAATCCAATGGTTGTAGAGGCAACTACTTGGGCTACCCCCAGGGTTTCTGTTGGTCAATCATCCCATGAAGTAGCACCAAATGTTGTTCCGTCCATGCCTCAATCTTTTCACCCTCCGGGTGTCACACCCGTGACTGTTATGGCGAACCCCCAACCTGCAGAGTTTCAGGTTTGAAGATTTTAGGGTTTATCTCTATTGCACAAAGCGCGCGCAGCGCGCATTAGTGTTTAGGGTTTGAAGGTTTTAGGGTTTATCTCTGGCACGCAGCGCGCACAGCACGCATTAGGGCTTAGGGTTTGGAAGTTTTAGGGTTTATTTTATTGCATGCAGCGCGCACACCGCGGGTTAAACTTTAGGGTTTGGAAGTTGCATAACACGATGGTTTAGGGTTTGGAAATTTTAGGGTTTACTTCTCTGGGACACAGCGCGCGCACCGCGCATTAGGGTTTAGGGTTTGGAAGTTTTAGGGTTTACTTTATTGCATGCAGCGCGCGCAGCGCGCATAGAGTTTAGGGTTTGGAAGTTTTAGGGTTTCAAGGGTTCCAAGGTTCCAGTGCACCAGGGTCCCACGGTTTCAGGGGTCCAAGGTTTCCAGGGTTCCAAGGGTTCCAAGGGTTCCAGGGTTTCAGGGTTCCAGGATCCCAGAGGGTTCCAGAATCCTTGAGGGTTCCTGGGTGCCTTCCACGGTCGCAGGGTTCCAAGGTTCCAGGGTTTCAGGGTTCCAGGGGGTTCCAAGGTTTCAGGGTTCCAGGGTTCCAGGGTACCAGGGTACCAGGGTCCCACGGTTTCAGGGTTCCAAGGTTTCCAGGGTTCCAAGGGTTCCAATGGTTCCAGGGTTTCAGGGTTCCAGGATCCCAGCAGGGTGCCAGGTGTGCAGGGTTGCAGGGTTCCAAGGTTCCAGGGTTCCAAGGTTGCAGGGTTCCAGAATCCTTGAGGGTTCCAGGGTGCCAAGGTTCCAAGGTTTCAGGGTTCCACGGTCGCAGGGTTTGAAGGTTCCAGGGTTTCAGTTCCGGGGTTCCAAGGTTTCAGGGTTCCAGGGTTCCAGGGTTCCAAGGTTTCAGGGTTCCAGGGTTCCAGGGTTCCAAGGGTTCCAGGGTTCCAGGGTTCCAGGGTTCATTCCGGATTTTGAAGGCTGCAAGTCCCCGCGAGCCAGCCCCAGCCCTAGAGATTGAAACCCAACAGGCCCTGCTGTTGGGAATTTCCCCATCTTTTCCTGTGCTCTTTTTGTTGGGGATTTGACGCAAAAATGTCAACCCTAAACCTCCATTTAGTTCCATTTAAATGTGTGTTCGCCATACTTTCCTATCATATTCCCAGCTATAAACCTTCATTTCTAGAGGATTTTCCATGTTTTTCCCCAAATGTTCCTCCGGGGATTTCCAAATTTTCGGTGCAACACCATCCAGTTTCTCACTCCTCAGTCTCGACGGTTCCCAGGTCAATGGTGCCACCTTGACGGGTGCCCGCACCACCCTGGCAGGACATGGCGAGCTTGGAAGATTCGTTTTCGACCCCATGGTTTATATATGGTTTATATATGGTTATTTTTTGGTTAATGATGGTTAATCATAATCTGGTTGGTGGTTGACCTACCCCTCTGAAAAATGTGAAAGTCAGTTGGGACTACTATTCCCAACTGAAAGCGACTATGGAAACATAAAAAATGTTCCAAACCACCAACCAGAATTGATTAATAGTGATTAAGAGTGATTGATAATGATTCATAGGGAATATTCAGGATATACCTTCTGGTAATTTAACAGTTTGCTCTTGAACATGGCCCATAGAAATAGTTGATTTACCGAACTTGAAGATGGTGATTTTCCATAGCTATGTTAGTTTACCAAAGGGTAATTTATTCATGTTGTACCAGGGGGTAATGTTGTTGTTTTTTTTTGCGGCTGTCTTACTCAAATGTCGTGATTGTTTTTGACTTTCTGAACATGTTTTAAAGGATTTCAAAGGTGCAGAGGTTGAAATTCATCATTTTTTCTTAACCCAAGGAATGATGTCCAAAAAAACAAGAAACATCATCTCATTCCGGAGTAGGTTCTGGGGGATTGCGCCGGGTATGGGTGATTTGTTTGCAGTTAGTCTGTGTGATTGTTTAGCGAGGAATGGATGTTGTTTTACGTTATCAATCCTTTAAATGGTACGACCAACCATGCGAAGTGTACAGCACCACAATCAAAACAAAAAAACTAGCTACAAGTATCTGATCGTCCCACTTTCTCAATCCTTAGTCCTTTAAATGCATGCAAGAAGTTGTAGTTTCTGCCAGAACATTGAACATGGCATAGCATCTGCATCAGCAACATCCCCACGGCCAGCTCTGGAAGACCCGTTGCATAAAGGGCATCTATGGTGGAACTGGAAAACTCCATGGAAAATCCCACTCTTTGGAATTGGAACACCAACTACTATATAAATGGATTAGCACAATCAATAATATATATATAGAAATCACATTGTTAATATACCCATTACATCCCCATGTTAGATCATGTTAGATGCTCAAATCCAAGATGCTTTCGAATTTGATCACATGTCAATGTGAAGCCCATGATTTGATACCTCTCCACCACTGGCGCGCTCGCCTCTACCACTGCTTGGCAGATCTGGACCCGGATGCGCTCCGGCAAGGACTGGAACCTCAGCTGGGAGCCTCTGGGGCATCTTTCAAAGTGCCAGAAGATTAGGATGATTTAATTGAAAGCGTGTGTCATACCCCCAAAATGGATCAAATCGAGAAATGTCAACCATGTCAACCATTCCAGCAGGATTTGACCAGGCATCTTGGGGGGACATGGAAACCATCAACAATAGGCATGGGAAGCCTAAATGTGTTTCACTTATGAAAAGAAAGAGGACTAAGTATAGATTAGGGATGATTAGGGCATCATTGGCTTCACAGATTATATTTTCTGCATCACACATTTTCAGAGAAAAAGACACTTGAACAGCCAAATGCCATTGAATATGTTCATGCTCCCTTCCACACCAACGCTGCACTCTGGGTAAAAGCGAGCTGGGGCCCCAAGCAAAGCCCTCGTCAGTGGGGGCCTAGGCATTCACCATCCCAAATGCGGTTGAAACTGCGAAACCACTAGCTCTATGTGGCACTGGCACACGCTGCACCAGAGTTCCTGAGCTCATTTAATCTCCCAAATCCTTGTTGCCAGCACATTTGTTCACCACTTTGCATCCAGAAAAAACGATAGTTTTCTGTTGCGATCCTTCACTGTTTGGTGTTTACAACTTCCAATCCCCAGTTTTTCTGCGGTGTGTGTCCCTCTTTTTTGATCCCTTGCGGAAACATGGAATCCGGGATGGAAAGGATCAACATCGGCAGCCCAAGGCAAGGCATCAACTGGGCTTCGGGCAACATGTTGAGGATTGGAATCAAGTCTTTCCATGTCAAGGTGGAGGGACCTGGGCAAGTGACATGACAAATTCGGAATGCTCCTTGCTGTTGGGATTCCTGATGGATTCCTGGTTGCAGTCTCTTAAAACAGTGGATGTCCAATGTCCAATGATGTTCAGCTCCAACTGATTGTTCGCATGGTCAGATTGGTGATAGATTTCCAGTTGACTCAAATCTGGTTCATTTTACCGAAATTGATGTACATCTTCCTGGCCTTCTGACCTGATGCCAATAACAACTTTCTATGTCAGTCGCTGAGATCTCTGTGCCCAACTTTCGAAGAGATCGGGGCAAGCATCTTTGATTTCACGGATCTGCAACAGTTGACCAATGGTTGCAGCGGGCACTTCACCATGGTGAAGAGTGAGGGAAAAATTGGCTAAGGATTTCTTCAGGCTGAAATGGTGAGCGGTTGCCATTTCACACAGTTTTTTTCTTTCAGTGTATGTATGTATATATATATATATATGTGTGTGTGTGTGGTACCCCCCCACTGTACCTACCTTACTATATATATATATATATATTTATATGTGGTATTTATTTGGTCCATTTTATCTATGAGTTCCAGGGCACCTTTCATCATGCAGTTGTGCGTAAGTTATCCAAGTTCCCCAACACTGTGGCATGGACAGAAACAATGGAAATCACCAACAAATTATTGCTGATAATATCTTGGTACATTAATCCCAAATCAGGGTCTTAAATCATCTTAAATCTTGAGTCTCTGTTCTCTCTCTCTCTCTCTTTCTCTCTCCCTCCCCCCTCACGTATTTACCAACGATATCAGGTATTCCCAACTATGGGGTCAAGATCTACTATGACATGGTGCCGCCAAGTCCGTTTAATTGAAGATGTGCGGCAGAACATGAAGATGTGTTGCTACTGGAGTTTTATCATTCCATTCAATCAGCAACTGCATGGGTAATAACCCTGGCTACGAAGTCCCCGATTTCGGGGTTCTTAGACTGGAGGCATCCGCCAGGAGCCTCGATGAAGAGTTGCTTCATCTCCTGAGATCGAACGGCGTGGCGCGCAAGGCGGCTGGGATAGGAAGCTGGGGACAACCACAATCCAAACCAACCAGTTACAATTGAAACAACCCAAAGAACTAGATTGGATGTGTAATGATGTGCAACTCTTGGATTTGAGTAGTTGATAAAAAGTCGATTCTTCGAACATCATGAGACATTCTAAAGCACCATAACTTGTTCATCATCAAAGGCTCAGTTTTTTGGGTATATAACGGTGTATATAGTAAGTCATGGGATCCGGCGAAAAAAAGCTCGGATGACCGACCAGTTCCCGCAGTTCCCACCAACCGAGCTGGGATTTTCCATGTATCCTCTGAGATAACCATGGCTTGCTGTGGCCAAGAAATTCGCCAAGCCACGCATGCAACGATCAATAACTCAGAATGAATCAAAACTACGGTAACTACATTTAAATATTACGGACTTTTAAATGTTGCAGTTTGTGCACACTGTTTCACTTGGAGTGAACCGTCCAATATACGAACAGGTATTTTAGACTACCTCCGGGAAGGTTTTCCTTGGCCCGCCCGGCCATTTAAACATACGGAATCCAATCATTTAAACATACGGAATCCAATTCATTTCAACATACGGTACAAGGTGGGGCCCCCCAGTTATAAGATGGCTTATAAACCCCATTAACTAGTTATAGGTACCATAAACCATAGTTATTGGAGTTATAAACCATCTTAGCTATCTAGGGGGCCCCACTTTGTAACTACATTTAAAATAATTGAAATATATTAAATTTTACGAACTGGTATTTCATACTACCTCCGGGGCCTTGCGGTCTGGCCCGCCCTTCACATATTTAAGTGTCGTTACCGTAAGAAAAACTAAGAATTATATAGTACTTCATATGACCACAACTTCCGGCTGACCCGCTTGTGATCGTGGCGGGCTATCATCTTAGCCCTTTTTTGGGAGGAACAAAAACCAGAAAAACCAGCCCGGAGCTTTCCCATGGTTTTCAGCCAACAATAATTACTCACTAATTACTCACAATTATATCAGTTATATAATATGCATGAAAAATAGTCATTAATTATCCAGGATCCATGATATCGATAGCTGATCTGGCTCATGAACAGCTTTTACCAAATGCAACGACACGCGCAAGCGCGCGTAACAACATGTAACAACGAGCTCGCCGAGCTTCGAATACAGACGTCAAGAGCTGATCTGGGATCAGGATCTCAGAGCTGAGACGATGCGACGACAAGTGTGGTGGGCCATGTGTGGTGGGCCATGGGGATGCAAAGTAGCACCGGTTTTGACCCGAAAAGATCGAAAAATCATGGATCGTGTTTACAGGATGGTGAAGATATTAGTGAAGATTCTATACTTTACCTCATATTTCCAGTGTTTCCTATTGTTTTTTTTTCGTTTTTTTTCCCGGGGTTGTTACAATAGATTTCTCTGCATGTGTGATGATTGATGGTTAATCCACCCATCTGGCTGTGAGTCAAAACCCCAAACACGTTCCTTTTCAATCCCAATTGGTGGAGTTTAGCATTCTTAGCCTTGAACACTTGATGGATGTGGCAAGGCTAAACAAAACCCATGACACAGGCATGTCATGGTGTCATAGGTTGGATGACTGGCAACGGATCACAGGTAAGATGGGATACATCATCTCATTTCTAAGGTCGAACGGCGAAATAAGGGGGACATGTTTGAAACCACCTTTTGCAGATCCCAGCAGTGGTTTGTAGCCACAAGAACTCTCAACCTTCAAGATCAAGATGCAAATCAGAAAGCACGCCATAGCACGCCTAAAAGCTGTTGAGGTTTAGCACCCCTCACCCCGCAACCCAGACTGCACATGGCCCCAGACCACACCGAAGTTGCAGTTCTGTCTGCTTCGCAACTCGATGATCTGGGCGTGGCTTGATGCTAGGCTGGGAACGACATCTCTTTCCATCCCCGTGTCTTTCAACGAAGTCCCCTTTTTCAACTCGCATCACAATGCGTCCACTATAGTTACTAATTATATGTTTTTAAGTTTTTTACCGACTCGGAAATAATGAAATCATCCCAGCATCCTCAAGCAACTAAACATACTCAGATCTAGTGATTGAAAATTCACAAGATCCGGGCCAGCCTGCAATAAAACTATGAAACTGGCCATGGTTCCAGCCAATTGCCCAAACGTCGCCGACAATTCATGACACTATTGATCAAAAGAAAAGTCCTCGCATCCCGTCAAACATGTTGACAGTATAGGATTTCATACTCAATTTTTGATCATTCTTACTCGGTCAGCGTGAAAATCTCCACAAGATGTACATGGCATGCTGGTTCAGCACAGAAATTTTGAATTTCAAGTGCTGCTGACTTTCCACCGAAAACTGTTTAGAATTATACAAGAGGGCAAAAACCCTTTCACCAACCCTTCTGCATGTGCCACATACCATACTGCTATGTCATGTGTGCTCCTCCTCTCAAAGCCCCAACCAAGCTCGACACGTTACAAATCATTTGCGTCACATCTGTCAGTCCAAGCTGTTCGTTGCCAGTGTCTGCCGACCTGACCACAAAAACCGACTGATCCACCACAATATGATGGGAGTCAAATTTGACTCTTCTGGGAAAATGCTCATCAGTATCAGGGGTCATTTTTTTGGAATGAGAATATACTGATGGTTTTGCTGTGGCCAGCTAAGGGCACACACACACAGATCTATACATATATAATCATATATACATATGCACACAAGTACATGCACCTGTGCATATCAACAATAAGATGCAATGAGTATACCGTATACCCTCTGGTAAATTAACATAGACCCTGAAAATAGCCTAGTTTTAATGGAAACTAATCTTCCAACCCCGATGAATGCCAGGGTCTATCTTAATTTACCAGAGGGTATATACCTAACAAATCCATCAACATGTTGTCCACATTTCAAAACCGGACCCCATTTTTTGCCTGACGTCACCAACTGAGGATCGCACATCAACACCACATGAGGATGTGTCATCAAAGCCACCTGCACCATTCAGTGGATTACTTTGGTCATGTTTGATGCTCAAAAAAATATAGAATTTGGATGAATTTGGGGATATCATTGGGAAATGTATATATATATATATATATTAATATATTATGGATGGACACATGAGAGCCAGTTTGGCCTCATCAAGTATTCAGCCGGCACACATTTGAAAGTTTGGACCTTCAATATGGGCCATTCTGGCAAACATAGGTAGGTAGCTAAACGATAGATGTTGGATGAATTTTCTAGCCTCATATCCTACCTCCGTGAACTTCTTGGTGAAACTGATGGTATTAACATGTCATGTAACAAGCATTGCTGATGCAGTAAGGTACACCAAGTTGTTCGTTCAATACGGCAAGCCAAATCCACAACAACAAACTCCAAGCCAGGTCAGTGAACAATTATAGCATGTGATTGGGAAACTCGTGGCCGCTCGTGGTAGCTCCTTGGCTCCCCCATGATGCACCATTCGTAGAACCACTGCTCTTCCCAGCTCCCGGCAATCATCACTGCATCGCCATCTTCAAAGAGTTCAACAGAAGCTGAAGCTGCCCGCAGGCCCAGCACAATCCACTTCTATACTGTCTATACTCCTCAGAGTTCATTTAGTTTGCCTATGTTTACCAGTGTTTACCTATAGCTTGCTATACTTCTTCATCTTCTTATATATATATCTCTCTCTCTCTCCATCGCCTTCTCACTGAGTCATGTCATGTGATTCCCCACCTGCCAAGTGAGGGTCTCTTGGATTTTAACAAAGGTGCAACTCCTCCTTCTCCTCCTCCTCCTTCTTCATCTCCTTCACCTTTTTCACTTTCACCTTTCTCCTCCACCTCCTCCTCCTCCTCCTCCTTCAACTCCTCCCTTCTGCCAGCTCATCGGGACTGTGAGCATGAGCGGATCCGAGCCATGTGGCGAGCTCCGGATGCAGTGGGCCATGCCTGGATCCGAACACATGCCGGAGAGAATGCCAAACAGAATGCCAGAATATATGCCAGACAGAATGCCAGAATAAATGTCAGGCTAGATGCCAGAAAGAATGGCTGAAAAGATGCCATACCCCGTGCGTCGAAGACCTATTGGAGAAAAAACCTCAACGAGAATCATGGGACCTATTTAGGGAAGCGTGCTGTAGCAGGGGTTCAAGATGTGCACAGCCAAGAGACCTATCATTTTATTCGCTATTTTCACAAATTCTTGAAGAGAAACAATCGAGAATAAGAAGACATGTAAGATGTATGCCCGATTTCAGACTTGACCGTGGACAAACCGTGGAACGACCTATCCAGGGTGTGGAACGGCCTATCTAGAGCGTGGACAGGGGTACCAGAGTCTTCAGCTGATTTCATGTTTTCTGCTAAAGCAAAATTTTGGATCCCCGCGAAAAAGTTCAACCATTTGGGTTTCAATCTGGATACTCTTGATGGCACAAGAATTCAAACACATACAGTTTGAGGGCTATTACAGTATATTATTGGTCTTTATTCAGGTCCTTTGTTACATTTTTAGGTCTTTAGGTAGGAACCTATTGCGAATAGGACTTATGACTTATAAGGCAAAATTAATGCCAGATAGCATCTCAGAATAGATGCCAGAATGAATGCTTGAAAAGATGCCAAACAGAATGCCAGAGTAAATGCCTGAATAGATGCCAAATAGAATGCAATAATGTCAGAATAGATGCCAGATAGAATATCAGATAGAAAATATCAGATAGAATGTCAGAATATATATATATATAGATATATGCCATATATACTTCCGGATGGTATGTCAAAAACGATGTCCGCCATCCCGGCCATCCCATGCCATCCCCGCCTCCGCGGCGATGTGGGAAATGGAGCGCCCTGGGATGCGCACGAAGCACCAAATCATGCCCGCGGAGGCGGCCTGGCGATGCCATAGGATGCCATGGAAGTCACAAGACATGGGAATCATGGTGATATGGGGGACATGTATCCGGGTGATATGGTTAATAGTTAATAAATGGTTAGTAATGATGGTTATGGTTAACCATTATGGGAATTTTAACCATGAACTGGTTGGGTGGTGAACCCTACCCCTCTGAAAAATGATGGAGTTCGTCAGTTGGGATGATGACATTCCCAACTGAATGGAAAAATAAAATTCATGTTCCAAATCACCAACCAGTTATCAGCTTTGGGTTCCTTGAGATGCTTGAACTATCTCAAAACTTGGATGGTTTTGTGCAAAGTGCAACGGGTTGGAAATGATGATCCATCTGCAAATGGGCCAAAATGATCCAAAATGCTGGTACCAACATGAAAAATGCGGGAGTTCTGGTGGAGAAGTGCGCTTCATGGGCCTATTGCTATGGGAGTAGGAGGGTGAGCTGTATAAACGAAGCCATGCAGAAGTGCTCAGTCGAAAGATTGACGAGCCAGTTGCTTAATCCTCCCAATTCTTCCGTCTGCTCTCACTGCTCTCCAGTATGCTAATATGGCTATAGGGGGGCGAAGGGGGCCACCCCCTACTGATACGCTATGTCTTCTGAGTCATCTGCCAGGGCTTAATATGAATTAAATAGTTTATTCAACGCTATAAATTCCACAGTTTATAGTTGGTGTAGCCTTACCGGGTCCAGTGCAGCCCTGAAAGTTCCAGGACAGATTTTGAGACCGTGCTTGAGCTGACTCCATCCACCACGGGCACCTGGATGGCTAAGTTGCCAATGATGGAACTGTAAAGTTTGCAGGCAGTGTCATAGCCCAGGGTCCTTGCAGGATGTGAGCGGCTCAAGCCACATCATGAATTATGGTGGGCTCTCAATAATGAGATGATTTTTTGTAAGTTTTGCTCCAGATACGCCAATGCATCTGGATTTGGGAAAGCACGTAAGCGCAAAGCAACGACTTTAAGCAGAATCATAGCAACTTTGCCGCTAGTCCTAAACCTGAGGGGCTTTCAATTTCTCCCCCAACCCTCCGAAAACTTTCCAGGACCAAGTCTTTGTGCACCAGCGTTTCCCTCAGAATCTTTGACTAATTCACCAACCTGCACTAAGGTTGTTTTGGGATCTTTTGGGATTCCTACAACCTACGTCAATCTACGGTGATGGCAAGCGGCCCCATGGGATGGCCCTGGGTGCCCTGGGTGCCCGGGCTGTTCAATCAACGGCAAGTCTGACTGAACACCTCGGTGGGGGCTATCCAGCTATCCTCAAATCCTTGTGGTCGACGGCGTGACTCCATGTGACTCCAGGGTCCCGGTTGAGCTGCCGTGCTGGCGGGAACTGCGATGACACAGGTTCGAATCTCGGTGCGCCAGGTTGCAATGCTCGGGCAACCAGTGAGTAGAAGTAGTGAGTAGACAAACTGATCGCAAATGATTGCAGCATAAATTGGCACGGACACGTTGTATGTCAAAGCGATTCAAATGATGCTATAGCAAATATGATATCATGATGATTGATGTTTTTGCTGTCTGCCATGAACTTGTTGCCTTGAAGGCCCCTTCGGTAAATAGCAAACTGCAGTTCAGCATTGTTTAACCAGTCACCATACCAGTGCAGGTCAGTATGGATCCACTCTCCAAGCGGTCCCTACTTGATTTGCTTGAAGCCATTGCAACTCGTACTTGCAAGTGTGGTATCCATGTCCGGCCTTTTTTTGGCTTAAGGTTTCTTATGTATACGTAACCACTGAAGAGATCTGCAAGTGACTTGTTCATTTTGGATATTTGGAGGGTTCCTAAATAGAGGTACCCCCAAATCATAGAAAATTAGACCGTTTTAGTATTATATGTATTATTGAAACCCATGGTTTTGGGGATCCCCCATTTTAGGAAACCTCCATGATTCAAAACCTTAAACCAACCTACACCATGGAAACCTTCAGCCGGGGGAAGCCGAGGGCCTTGTGCTCCACAAAATACTCCGACAAGCGAGCCGTCCACGAATGCACGTTGCGACCTTCCCGAAGCACCAGCAGTGGTTGGCTGGAAACATGGGGAAAATACCATCCGCTTAACGTAGCCAACTGGAAATCACCATTTTGAATAGATCCGGATCATCAATGGGCCATTTTCCGCTAGGAAGATCAGGCCGTCTTTACCAGCCATGGTCTAAAGGGCTATCATGGGCAAAAAAAAATGGTGATATAATCAGGATTTTTGATGGGGATATATATATAATATGGATATATGGATTTCTAGTGGGAAATTCGATATCAATGGATTTCTTGAAACAGCTGAGAAATCAATATGCTAAAGTGGGAAAACCCAATGCGATCCAACAATAAACCTCCCATTTGGGGATGGTATGTTTATGATTGGGTTACCACATTATTCAATGGATGGGCTTATGGAAACATCAGGAAACCACGTTTTTTTTTTGAAAAAAAACTTTCCCCCAAGTGTGGGATTGTTTCCTGTAGATTTTCATATCATCCGTTTCTGGGAAATGCATGCCCGCAATGACATTGATGATCATTGATGTAGCATGAGGAGAAACAAGGAAACAAAGGAAGACCCTGAGAACATCTGAGAACCCATTCAGAAAGCAGAATTCCCTCATGTATGTAATGACTGTGATGTGATACTATTCTCATGTGCCCCAACTAGTGTGAAAACACACAACTCCAAACCGATCCGGACCTATCATGCCACACCCGACAGCTGCCAAGGTCATGGTTTTTTGCGGGACATTGGTCCTGCAACACCCGAGGAGTCTTGTGCTCAAAATGGGTGCCCATTTTTTTTGAAACTGCTCAACCAGAGCAAGGAGCAATAACCAGAAACGTTCAACCTGCCGAGCTAAAGCAGGGTTGGAGGGCGGCCAACTCAACCACAGCTAGGACAATCCCGTGTGGCCAAAGGTTTGCCACTTAGTTCTGTGGTACCTCATTGAAGTTTGAACCAGCAAACTCCAATTGAACTGCTGAACTGCGGAACATCATTTAATGATGTATGTATAAGTTATGTATATATATAATATATATAATTTGTCTGCTGCTGTATCTTCTACTCGTGCATTCTTTGAGGAGCCACGTTGAACCAATTGAACAACTGAAGTGACAACTGCCCGCTGGGCTGCTCTCTGTGGCAGCCGCAGCACTATGTACATGCCTCTGGTGGCCATCGAATGGCCGGCCCAGTGGCTACGAAGCTTCTTGCTGTGAGAAGTGGATTTAAGATCAGAAAATATGTCGAAATCTCATGAAGGTCAAATCCTGAACAAAACATCTCATTATATATCTAATTAATATTAATTAATTAATTGTGTTTATTTCACCCCCAAAAAGCTGCTTGTGTAGGAGGACACGCGGCATCTTGCTGAAATGAGCTGCCCTAAGACCAATCTTTTCTTCATTCCCTACTCTTCGTCTCTGGTTCACTCCATTCCCAGTCGCCATCTAAGCCATAGTCGTCAGGAATCCATTTCACACAACCAGTTCTTGAGGTTCCCAGAGCTCATCAAAGTTCATCTGCAGCCCTGTCTGCTTCAGCAACTCTGCTGCAACCTCTTGAGCCTTGGCCACGCTTCAACAGCTTCCCGGCTGAGTAGCGCTGGGGTTCTATGGGGCCAGCCTAACTGCTTTGGAAACACAAATTCAACATGAAACAAACTTTAAAACATCGTGGTAGTGGCCATCTGTTTCTTCCATTTGTTTAAGCAATCATATCATTGACACTGCAAACATGTTCTTAAAGCACCAGTTTCAACTTGTTCCATGTTCTTGCCCACTACGGTGAGTTTCAGCCCTAAGCCATGACACTCCAAACCACTGTACCAAGCATGTTTGGTTGCTGGAAGCCTCAAGATGTGATGCAAGTACGAACACTCAGAGACGGAACGGAATCAACCCAGAGCACCAGAAGTAAGTTGCTAAGATGTGACCTTGAGCAAAGAATTCAGCGTCTTTCCAATAAAGCAATTTGCCAAGATTTGCAATACACTTCCCCAAATCCAAAACGGGTCTGTCTGAAAAAAGGGTTGCCCCACAGCCCCATGGCTTTTGAGTTTTGGTCATCGAAATTGCAATGGAATCCCCAAGAGTTGTGTATTGATTGATGTTTGGGATCCAGTTGCTTTTGAAGCCAGTTATGTCAGCCCTCAGTAGTCCGATGTGAAAGAGGAAATTAGACCAGAAACTGAACAATCATACACACTCACACACATACATACATGCATTGCATTGCATTGCATTGCATTACATTACATTACATTACATTACATATTCATTACATTATGTACATTGCATTACATCACATCACATAACATCACATCACATTACATACATTACAGTACATACATTACATACATTACATACATTACTTTACATTATACATCACATTACATTACAATACATTACAATACATTACATTGCATTCCTTGACATTACATTACATTATAAAACTATATAATAATAATGATAATATATCATATATATATATATTATTGTTAAAATATATAAGTTGGAGTTCCCCGATTAGGAATGGAAGGGGGGGAACAACAACTCATCAGTGAAACCATTCTCTCAGCATCCAAGCAACTTCTTCCCTCACCGCCGGAGATCCAAATCCTCCACTGACTTCATTGGATCCAAGACCCAGGCCGCGATCCACCCAGAATTTGATGATCTTTCGTAGTACCATGGAAGCCTGTTGCTGTCTTCGGCTGTCTTTGTTACACTCATGGTTGACCTGCCCTGTCGCTGTTGTTGTTTGTTAAGCCACAGTCCCTAAGGTATGGCATGGTATGGCCAAGCCTTGGATACGGCCCTTGGCCGTTCAATCGTTCGTTGATTGCCAGTGGGGCATAGTCGAGAGTTTACATCCATTGATAGCAAGAAATCATGGACGATGAATGGATGATGTCCATCAATGGATTAGTAACATGGATTATTAATGGATTGTTAATGGATTAGTAAAATGGATTAGTAATGATTAATCGATTATAATGGATTATTATTAAGTTCTGCTCAATCAACCATCAACCATTTATCAAAAGAAATGGGATGAGTAAGTTCTGCCCACTAGGCCCAATTTTAAGCGGCCACATCATCTCGCAGGGTCGCACTGACGTAAGCTTAAAAGTGCCATGGCCATGATCAAAATGTTGCAACCCAAATCATAAATAGCAACGTTTAAATACATGTAAGGTTTATTGTTAGGTATTATATTGTTTAACTACTTCTATTTTGGGATGATTAAAATGATAATCAATTGATATCAAATGGTTGGTTACTGGGACGGTTTATTCGTGGCTTCACCAATGCCCCCTAAAAAAGGACAACCCCAAAATTCCCTAACCGCAGGGCCCACATGATGATTCGCTGCAAGGCACAATGGTCGGGGCATAGAAATCCTTTTGCGAATGAGGCACTTGCGCAGTTGCAATCTGCATGTACATCCCCTTGGCTCTATCCACCAAGGGATAATATCCTCAGTCAATCAACGCAGTAGCTCCGCGCCACTGGTCCCTACTGAGCTGGCTGAGCCGAATTCTGGTACAAGTGCCGTGCCATGCATCTGTGTGTTGGTGAACCCATTAAATCCACCTGTTTGTTGGTTAACCCACTGGAAAGCTGTATGTACAAAACGTTTCAAGAGTTGAACATTGAATCCCTTCGACCTGTGAACAACTTCCCCGACACACACATCTTTGGATGTAGATGACGCCCCAGCTACACCCATGATTTTCCTGCGCATACAAATCACAAGATGTTGACCCAACACCATGGGACCATGAGGGTGAAAACAGCTGGCATCGTGCACCATGTGACCATCAGCATGAGCTTCAGAATTTGGTTATATACCCTCTGGTTATTTAACATAGCCATGGAAAATGGCCCGTTTATAGATGGTTTACCTATTAAAAATGGTGATTCCATGGCTATGTTAAATAACCAGAGGGTAAGTTATTTAACCCGAGTGTCTCTCATCAACCTACACTGTTCCTGGGGGTGTACTACTTCAGGTAGTAGTAGTCATGTCAAGTCATGTCAACATTGAGCACCCAAAAAATGTGATACTTGACCTGACTTTTAAATATCTATTCACCATAATTTCAGTAAAGTCATACAGTAATTCACCCATAAACCACAATAATTTACCATATATCAGTATATAACAGCAAATAAATCACCACATAAATAATCCATACTTGCTTCATTGGGACTCTCATCCCGGTAGCCCCTTCGCCGGGCGTCCGAAGAGCCCTGCGTCCATGTGGATGTTGGCTTTCCTGCAGCTCTCCGTAAAGCTGGACAGCTTGGGCGGGAAGCACTCGAAGTAGTTGCCTTTTTTGACCAAACCACACGTCTGTTTTGGTTGCGGTTTAGGATAGTTCTACGATCATTATCATTAAAGATCTTTAAGACCGGGAAAATCAATATTGTGGATCATATTATCCCAAAACGGGAAAAAACAAATAGACTTCATACCTTTTATGGAAGCTTGAGTCCTCTCAACATTGATGCAATGCGGCACCACATTTGCAAAAAAAACAAAATAAACTACGCCCGAGGTCAACAATAGAAACTAGGAGTCATCCTATTCGTCCCATTCCCCTAATATTCGGCACCCACTAGAGAAAAAAGCATCTTAGGGGGACGGGATTGCATACAAGATTCTCATTACTTTCTTATCATGGCCACCATTTATTCCCATCTATTGTCAGGGTTGCTCCAAACACCACAGGTACAAGGGGAAAAAAAGCTAAATAGAGAGGAGAAAAAACACTCCCCCTTGTGGCACTGATTCTACCAGTACCTACAAAAGGTTGGAGCTGGTTTATGATATTGCTGCCCCATGTATGATGGCTTAACACCCATTCGTTGTTCCATTTGGGGGAAGGGATTCTCTTCACACAAGTTGCAGAATGAATAGTGTCCCAGAAGTTTCACCAAGAAGGTGCTAGCGTTCGAAACCTGCAGGGCGCTATAAGGTCCACTGGGCTGATGAACAGGGGAAACCACTAAATTTAGTCACTGTTTCAAGCCATGGAAAACATGAAAACTTGTTTTGAGCCATCTGGAAGGTTTGAATATCTTGGAAAATGCAAGTCTTTGTTGACAAAAACCCATGTTGAAAAGCTTTCTGCTGCCATTTTCTGTGTTCCCTGTGAGATTGGTGTGACTCAAAACTGAGCATCCGTGAGCCAAAAAAGTGGCTCGAATCAATTACCATCTGGTTATTTCACATAGACATGGAAAATCACAATTTTAAATAGGTAAACCATCTATAAATGGACCATTTTCCATGGCTGCCTATGTTAAATAACCAGGGGGTATATATACAAGACCAAGCACTACATTTTCGGGGCCACCACTCTTGGGCCTACTATAGCATCCTGCTGCCCCTCTGCCTGTACTTGAGGCGACAAGTAGTCCCGCTCCATCTCGAAGGACACCCAGCTGGGAATCAATTTGTTGGCCACATAGCCGTGCAGAATCCGATCATAATCCTGGCCGAAGGGCACAACTACTCTGAAACTGTAGATTTTGTGGGGTTCATGCTTGAGTCCATGGATCATGTCTGAACCATGTCATCATGTCTGAACCAAAGTCGCCGCAAATTTCGCAATCTTCAACCTTTTAAGCTGCCACTCCGGTGCGAAGGCATCTTCTTCATCACTTGTCCAAAAACGCTCACCGTGGTCCCGCTGACAAAAGCAAACAGCACCTCGTTGACCGTTGGATGCTGGGCACCATTCCCCAACTTTTCTTATGGCAGAACCCGACGATTGCATCCCGCCAAACGGATGGACGTCCTCTGGACTCGTCATCATATTGCCCGCTAGGCCTGGGTTTTGGCCTCCCAGCCAGTAGGTTGACCTGCAAGTGCATCACCCAATGGATCCATTGATTTTCCTACTTTAAATCACCTCCCATAAAAGATAGAAAACCTCTAACTCATCACTGTATCATTTTGACTGCTAGCGATCCAAACGCGCCATAAGTGCTATGTTTGGAGTCAAAACAGTAAGCAGTTTCCAGGTGAGAAGCTTGAGCTGCAAAGGTCTGATGAGATACTTCTGCAGCATCCTCGGCATCAAGAAGGACCAACAAATAGACACATTTATATAACTTATTATATAACCACTTAGACCCTCCAGTAAAAGTATTTACTAAACATGTTAGCTAACACATACCAACTCATACCATTTTTCACAAAATGGGTATTTGGAGGGCGTGGATGAAGCCCGGCCATCATGAGAGTTTGAAATGTTTGAACTAAAGTTGCTTGAGACCAACAAAAAAGCTGGCATAAGCTGGCTGGTGGTTTCAACGTAACATCCAAACATCAATATAGAATAAATATATAATATGATACACATGATATTCATCCCCAAAAACTTGGGTGGACAACCACCAGCCATCACCAGCCATCCGCGGCGTCTAAGCACAACTCCCGGCATCTCTTGCGTTGTGATCTTCGCAGCATCTGCCGCCATCGCACCGGCGATTTGAAGATGAAAGGAGTTGTAGGACCACGTGGAGCCGGGCTCGAACTCGAACGGCGCCTGCCTCGCATGGCCGATGGCGAACCCAAGAGCTGATGCGGTGCAGGGATCCAAGGTGGACATCACAGTCCCTTTGGATGGATATGGGATACCCACATGTCCATTGTTAGGCTGCAGCCATGTCTGATCAAATGAACGGAATTCAAACTACGTGGCTTGAAGATGGTCGAAGAATCAGCAAAGAAATGCACAGAATATATCCACGACATATCCATGGGATCGCATGGGATCACACCGAAAACAAAATCAAATCAGTACCTACCACTTTGCCCAGTGCTAAACTGTTGGTTTTCGTTGTCCATTCCCATCAGATTCGAGGTGCTCGTAGATTTCCTTTGCACAGGCCTGGTAGGCGTCGGGTTTTCGTGCAAGCTGAAAATCACTCACCATCTTAGTAACCTGAGGAGTCTACGAATATCGACACCAGCAGTGTCAAACCATCCCGTTGTGCAGCCTAATTTTGAAGCAACAAATATGCTGAACCATAAAGGACATGGGCCAAAATCATGGCCATTTCTCAGGCTGTAGCCATTGATAGCCAAAATCTCCCGGATCGGATCTCATCTGTCAGCATGTTGGCGACAAAATGTCGAACAAATTTCGCACACTTCAAAATGTTTTTTTGGTATCAACAAAACAATATTCCATATATATATATACCAGCTAAGCCAGAAAACCATGAAATATTAATATTTCAAAAAAATATTACGATTTTGGGGGAGCTGCAAGAATTCTTGCGATTGAGAAAAGCGTTGCGAGAATTTGGAAACAATATGTTTTCATGATTTTGTGCTGCAGCATTTGACTTAGCGATCAAGATGTGGCTCTATGTTTTCTTCATTGCTACCAGGTGCTGCTGGCATGTTTTACAGGTGGGTATGATATAAATGGTTGCCACTTAAAAGAATTAAGATCAGAATTCACATGGACACTTAAGATTAAGTCAATAGTAGAGGGTTTAATTTAGGTAGATTAGTTGCTTTAAAAGGCTTGGACTGATAGATAGGCCCCAGCGAAACCCAAGAATTTCAGAAATAATGAGCTGGTGCAAAACTAGAAGTCAATGTCTTTAAATGAATTAACCTAATAAAGTAGAACACGCCTTTAATTTAAATAACACAATTAAATTTTTGAGGGAATTGAATGGGCCAGACTTAAGGGAGGCTTGGACCGAAGCAGACATAATCTTAATTTAAGGAATTGAATGGGCCAGACTTAAGGAAGGATTGGACCGAAGCAGCGATAATCTTAATTTAAGGAATTGAATGGGCCAGACTTAAGGGAGGATTGGACCGAAGCAGCGATAATCTTAATTTAAGGAATTGAATGGGCCAGACTTAAGGGAGGATTGGACCGAAGAAGCGATAATCTTAATTTAAGGGCTTGAATGGGCCAGACTTCAGGGAGGCTTGGACCGAAGCAGCGATAATCTTAATTTAATAAGGCACGGCTTTTCTAAAGGACACTAATGAATCATAAGCGAACTGGTAGCAAATAAAAATGGATGTTACTGAACGTCAAAGCCACTAGGATAATCAAAGTAGCCTGAAGTTGACATAGGGAGTATTCAGCATTGCTCATGGAAGCAAATACATCACAGCCAATAATTTAATTTCACCTATAGTTTCATATCCTTTTCCATTGTGTGCCTCAAGATTAAATTACAATTTGATGTTGTTCTCTTTATTTATGCTCAAGTGGGATTCTAGGGAAGTTAGTCGCCATGGCGTGGAGTGAAGGGAGTGTGTTTTCCAGTCTGGAGGGGCTTGGCCTGAAGTGGGAGGCCATTTCAACGGTCAGGGAACGCCTCAAAGACTTGCAATGCCTGATGGTGGAGAAACCTTCACCTGGTGAGCCAGAAGTGAAGCCTGTCGGAGCCATTGCAAAGACTCACAGCAACTTGAGGCACAATGCCACGGTGATGAAACCTCTGTTGGAGATGATGGCGAAGCACCAAGAGAAGACTCCGTGCAAAGAAGCCCTGTGTTCCGAGCTGAAGATTTTGTATGAGAAGTCGAGGCTCCAGGCTGACACCACAATGCTGTCTGAGGAGGCATGGTCGATCAGATATATGTACGGCCTTGTCAAACAGTTGACATACAAACAGAAGCCACCTCGAGAAACTTGGATTGCAGACTGATTACTGAGCTCTGTATTTTTTTTACAGCAATAGTTTTTTGATTGACAAATTCTAATCAGTGCTGTTTTCTCGATTGTTGCGTTTTCCTCCAAAAGTCTACATTACGAAATTTCTTGGTGGGGCACCACAATCAGTAAGGATCCTTTGTTTCAGGAGTTGCTGGCTATTTGGGGGGTCTCCTGTTCGGAATGGAAGCAGGCAAAGCCGAATCCGAAGAAGGTGGCTTCTCCTGTTCAAGCTTCAACAGCATCCGAAGCTTCCCCAAGTCCAAGCCCAAGTGTGAACACTGAAAAGACTGGAGGAGCGAAAGGATCTGCCAAGGACAGGGTTTCATCAGGGTTGCTCTTCATTGAATTCCAAGAAAACTTAACTTAGATGAATGATGATGAAGAAGTTGACTTGTGAATTAATTAAGCTTGTGAAAGAGGAGGACAGGGGTGCTTCGTTAAAAATGTCCTCTGATCAAAGTAAAATTATTTTTTGATTTGTTAATTACAAGGGATGAATCAATAAGCCGCTTCTTAGTTTAGAATTAGGCCTGACCAGTTGGTCAATCACTTATGCTCACTGCAGCTGAGCTGCTCCAATCAGGACTAAGATCTTAAGTTAATTCAAATAAAGAGTGCCTCAATTTGATAAGATTAAAACAACTGCAGTTGCAGTTAGAGCATCTGATAATTTTCTTTACTGTTAATCAATAATTGCATAGATGAATCAAACAGATTAGCAGGAAAGGGATTTAATTCATGAGAAAACAAAATAAATCAATTAAGCATAATTAACAAATTAAGTTAATCAAATAAATGAAGTCAAGTGACAGCAATTAAATAAATAAATTAAGTGCATTAGTTAACTTAATTAAACTATCTGTGAAGGTAATTAAACTAATTTAAGCATAATAATTACGATTATTAAAATTAATTGACTTAATTCACTTGATGCTGCGAGCAGGACAGCGTGCCGAAGTACACCGCTGCAAAGGCCGCCCCAAAGCGATCCGAGCAGATGGTGCCACAGCCGCAGCCCGATCCGCCAAAGGGCATCCCTGGAGCGCAGGCCAATCTCATTGCGCTTGCTGTCCGCCGCCAGCACCTACAGGAGATGCATCTTGGCAACATTCGACATGGAGTATTGTTGTTGCTTTTATTTTTTAATTGTCTTTAAATAGTATGGGTGGACCTACAGTGTCAGGTTGGTTATTCGTAAGAGGGAAGAGGAAGCGCAAAAATCTGCTGAAGTACTTGCTGCCCAGCTGGCATCAAGTAGCCCAGCACCAGAAGGAATCTTATCTTAAGCTTAATTAATATATTAATCTTCTTTTATTTTGATAATGTAATATTGGCAGGCCAGCATCCAGGAAACTAAGGAAGCCAGATGGATGCTTTGCAAACTCTGCCCTTGCATCCCGGCGATGAGAATATGGAAGAAATGCTGCAGGACTGACTTATTGAAAGAACATGTAAATCTGGTTTTGTAGTTCTTATCATAGTAATCAACTTGGTTTTGCTATAATGTCCACCCCAAAGTTTGTTAGATATAACGTCCTGAAGGACCACAGCAAAGTCACGGAGAAGAAGCAAGAGTTCCCAGCACCTAAAGACCCAGAAAGTGCACCCTCCAAGGAAGTGGTCGACCTGAAACCTATGACTGTGAAGGTGGAGGACCCGTCCAAGATGCAGAGTCTGAATAAGAACTCGCTTAAGAAAAAGCCTGGGGATGAGGAGATGAAAAGCACAGAGAAAATTGAGACGGAGAAGAAGCAAAAGGCTGCCGAGACCAACCAAGAAGTACCAGTACTTGAAAACAAGAAGGAAGCCGAGAAGGGACTGAATCTGTTGATGATGGTGCAAGAGCAGCTGAGTGAGAAGGCTGACAGCGGCAAAAAAGAAGAAGACCTTCGCAGGGCCCAATTGACCATGAGAGCTTCGGAAAAAGAGAGGCTTGAAGAGGAACGGGAATCCAACAAGGCAAAGAAGAAAGAATCAAAGACACCAAAGGCAAAAGGTCGCCCCCGAAGGAAGGAAGGTGAAGTTGTGACCAAGGCCAAGAGATCCAAGAAAGTTGAGAGCGCAGGCAATGAGGAGGGCGAGCCTGAGGATGAAGCCCCTTCTGGACCCGGAAAGAAAAAAAAACGAAAGGCGGTAAGAAAAGAAAGCAGGCAGAGGCAGAGGATGACGACGCAGATGGACCCAGTACTGCTGCTCCCAAGGCCAAGGCAAAAACTGGACCAAAGAGAACCCCACGAGGAAAAGGAAATCTGCCAAAGCCTGACCCGACAATGAAGCAAGAGATGATCGACCTGATGAAGCGCTATCATACAGTCCCGTATGACAAACTCCAAGATGTGCTGCACAAGGTCTATACCAAGAAGAATGCCAACCCATACTGCTCGATCTACTGGAACCGCCCTGCAGGAGGTGTGAAGATCATCCTTGAAGACAAGTCTGAGACTCAAAGGTTCTACTTCAGCTACTGCTACTCTTCGATTGCAGTGAACATCTACATGCGCAACAAAGTTTGCAAGGAGTTTGCCGGTGCTGCGCACGGCTGGTGGGACTCGCAAGATGCAATTCACCTTGAGCAGCTGCTCTTGATCACTGCCGCCGAGGCTGAGAAGGAGTTCGAAGCGTGGAAGAACATGGACTAGCTTACCGAGTTTCCGAGCGAGATCTTTTGAGCATCTGCCATGTTGGCTTAGGTGACTTATTTTGAGATAAATAGAAATGATCCATAAGCATTTAGCTCTGTTGGGGTAGATGGCATAGATTGCACATAGGGGCCCGCAGGAGACATGCCAAATTAATTAATTAGAATCTTGACTGAACCAGCTTAATCTAATAACCTTCAACTATTTTGACAGCTGACTTAATGAAACCTTTTATCCCTGTAATTAATTAAGCATAGTGATGCTTTAAATAGTGCTGGCATCTAACCGGCTTGGTGGGGCCCAGGTGTAGTCTAGCCTCAGAGCTCAATACCTTCGGCTGCAAAACGAGAAAAACAGATTGCACTCCCTGCTGCTGCTGCCCTAGTGTTCAACCCTGGCCAGGTGCCTGCAGTGATGGCCCCGAAGCGATGACCTTTCCCGCTGGCGCAACTGCAGCTTGGCAACCTGCCAGTTCATGACCAGGCCGGGTCTAACAGCAGCCTGTGAGACTTAAACAACATGCGTGGTTTCCAATTGTTTACTTAGTGGTTATTGATAATACTCGTGCTGCCATTTGGTAGTGGGGGTCCAGCCTATAAGATTTTTTTCATTCTTTTGAAAACGGTGTACACAATGTGTGTATGCCTAGAATGTGCCACATATTGCAGCCCTTTTTGGCTGAAGACTTTCCAAGATCTTTTTTCCCACAAAAGTTCCGATGCCGAATGGCGATGGTGATGGAGGTGGAAGTGAAAATGAGCATGATGGATACGATCGTGGTAAAGGGAAGGGAGATGAATACCACCACAACTGGAAACTCGCCTCCCAAATACATTTTGATTTGTGTGGGTTTGGGCATGCAACTATAAAATTTGTCTGAATGATTTTTCTTCCTGGGTTTTGCCAAACCCCAGGAAAGGTTCGTGGCAATATCATGGTGGTCATGGCAGCAGGAAGGGCAAGAAGGGAAACCACAAGGGAGGAGGAAGGAGGCCAGTTCCCCTTCCCATCTTCCCTGGAACGCCTCCTGGAATGCCTCCTGCCAGCGTGGTGCCACCTCGCCCGAAGATGCGACCCCATTCGTCTGGTACCAGTCCTCCAGCAGCACAGCTTGGGCAGTGGATGCATGCCTATGTGTGGTTCCCACACCAATCTCTTAGTACTTTTGGAGGTATCGTCGAGGATGATGCATCAGAAGTGCCTTGGTTAATATAATAATTAATGTGTTATGATTTTATACCTGTAATCATTATTCATGCAGTTATAAAATTATCTGGACTTAACTTTTTTTGCCAGCAACCTTTGAACTGCTGAGGCTGGATCCCAAGAAGAGAGGCCTGTGGGTGTGAATGACGCTACAACACCTTCTGCTACAACACCAGCTGCTACAACACCAGCTGCTTCGGCCAAGTCTAAAAGTGGGCCTGGCCCACGTCATGAAGTAGATGCTGGTGGTTCAGCGGCTTTGGGCGCTAGTGCGAAAGCACCTTGTCGATCCTTGGCTTATAGAACTATAAGTTTCAATCATTTTTGATTGAACACATTCTAAGATTATTATCTCCATAAGATTAATTTTAATTAAGATCAACATCCAATAATCCTCAAGCTTCTTTGCTTTCAGGCCAACCCAGTAATTTAAAAAGAATAACGTTAATACCCGCTGAAAATAATATTATATTAAAATATTAACATATTAATTTTTATAATTAAAGCCCTGAAATCATCTTATCATCCCTTAATTAAGGTCAACTCCTCAATTTTTAAACTTAAAATAACAATTTTCCAGAAATATTAATTTCAGCCTTTATAGCTGCAGGAAACCCAACAAAGTATAATCCCTGAAATAAAAGCCCTCCCTGAAAAATCAACCCATCCCTGAAAACCAACGTCCAAGGTGATGGCGATCGGATGCCACGCAGCCCATCGCGTCCTCCACCACCACGGGATGGCCCCATGCCTGCAAACACCACGGTGGCGGCCATGGATACTAGTGAATCAAATGATCAAGGAGATGCTGTGGATGGACCTGGTGGGTCTGGTATGACTTCAGAGGCAAAAGCTTCTGGCCCAAAAGCTCCTGGCACACCTGGTCCCCATGAGATGTCGCGACATGCCCTTCAAAGCTTTGATGAAGGAACTCCCGAATTTCAAGCAGCAAACATGTTTCTGCGGTACATGGAAGGTTCTGGGCTGCTGCCACCGTGTCCAGAAGGTCAGGTGTCAAAAAAGGTTATGTAACATGCATGACGTTTTATATTGCCAGTTAATTTTATTTTGAATTATATGGTGCATGTTCAGCCCTGGAGGCCCTGGAAGCTCTGATCCCCGGAGGGATGCTGTCACCCCTACTGTGCCTGAAGAGTGTGAGGAGGAACCGCAACATGAACCAGATGTGCAACGCAAATCCTCACGCCGGCGACGCAGATCTGGAGAGGAGGATGGCAGAGATCGCAGGGATCGTGAGAGGGATCGGGATCGTGACCGTGCCAGGGCACGCAGCCACAAAACACACCACAGGTGAATAACTCAATCTTTTTTTAGGAATTGTAGCCAAATGCATCATAATAGTTCAGCTTTAATTGCTACCTTAAGTTGTCTTGAGTGGTTGTGACAAGTTGGCTCAGCCCATAATTCACAAATTACCCTACCTCGCCAGCTGGAAAAAAATACCACAGCATGCCAGAGCAATGCCATATTAATAATTTGTTTTTCAAGTTATCTCCGCCATGTGCAGGCATGGTGAAGCGTTCAGCCCGCTGCCGTGCGAGTCCTGCAGCAGCACCTGCGCCGTGCAGACCTCCGCAAAGAGCAGCTGCTGTGCCCAGACCACCTGTGCGTCGAAGAGGTGGTAACGCTAGCATGCTTAAATTGAGAGCATCGCCACAATCTCACACAATTTAATTTATTTAAGATGATTTGACCTTAGTTGCCTCTTTGGCTCAAGACTGAAATTTGATTGACCTATAAAGAATGGATTGACTAGATGCCCCACCATCATGCAGTGCCTTCTGAGAAAGACCTGGACAACCTTATCACCAGACTTCTGCACATGAAGGCACCTAAGGCTGCATGGGTCTAAAATAGTTTATATTTACTTTAAGTTTTACATGTTTTAAGCCATGCAGTTTAATTAAGATTCAAGAATTCACAATTTTGAAGTGGAAATTAACCATCCCTGAAGGCATTTGCCATGTTGGTGGTGATGGTATTTTTCAATACCAACATGCCGAAAGTTCCACAGGCCCGAGTCCAAAGTCAAAAGAGTTCAAAAGAAGTTTAGGCAATCTAATTGTTAACAAACTTAGATTTTACTTGGGATGAAAATTGACCCCTGGCAGGCCTTTCAAGTATGTGAGTTTTTCGCTGGGGACGGAATGGTTTCCAGATCAGCAAAATATGGTATGATTGCTTGCGCGCAATTGGATATAGAGTATGGGAAACATACCAGAGTGCACAAGCAAAACGCGTTCGATCTGTTGGAGCCTAGTGGCTTGGCATGTCTTGGATTGCGCTTGGCCCTGAAACTTTTTTTACTAGGTTTGCAGTTGGCCCGAATCTTTGGGTAAATTAATTTCTTTGTGAAATGAGAGGCTGGCTGTGTGGGTCTTGCTCAACACGGATTCAATGGGGTTCTTCGCTCTTTTTGCTGTCGTATGTACTTCATTCTCAGCTATCAATGTGGCGACGAGCATGAGAAGCCCTACAACACCATATGGTCGACTGGACCTGAAATATGTGCAGGAACTTGGCTGATACTGTTCTTTGGTTTATTATGATGGATATGCATGGGGGATCATGGGGGTATATGCATGGATCAATTGATTTATTATGATTTACTGTAGCCGAAAACAATTGCAGGATGGCAATTGTCTACTGAGCAGAGTTGTACTACTATGTATGCTATGCACATGCCTGGCTGGCACATGGTTTATAGAGCAACCTGCGAGCTCACGACTGGTTTGGTATCCTCGCTGGGAATCGTTTCTGGTGTCCAAATGGCTCAGAGTGTGGCGTGTGGGGTGGTGGAGCAGGCATTATGGTGCTCTTTCCCCGCTGCTTGGATCATTGTGCAATATTGTGCGCTTACTATATTTTTGTTGTATTTATTTAAGGTGGCTGCCCACACTGTCAAGAATTACATTCCATGCCGTGCCATGCCGGCTTCAGGAAACGACACCGTGGATGGAGCAATTCCAAGGAGATCCACATTCTGGACCGTGGTTTCCTACGAAAGGTGGCCAGAGAAAAATGCACGCTGAAGACCACGAAGAAGGTTCGGAAACAAGGTGGCAAGGTTCAGTTCCAAGGAATAAAGGGGGCTTTGAAAAGCACTCAGTGCGAAGCTTAGCTGGTTCCAAGAACACTGGCTAAAAGGCGCTATATAGGCTTTACTTTGAGAACTGCCAATGGAAATTAATATTTCAACCTTCAAGTGCAATTAAATGCAACCATAAGGTCCTATCCGGTAGCCTTTGGACTTCGGATTCTTCGGTTCCTACCCGAACTACGGTCTGGATCAACGGGATGCCCTCCTTTGCCTGCCACTCCTGAGCCTGATGCACCTACCCTCTTCATGGAAACATCTATGGGGCCTGATAACTGGTCAGAAGCCAAGCTTTTTGATGCAGTTCGATATGTTCGTGGGTCCATACACCTTAGATGCACTGATCGCTGGTATGCAGTGCTTCCCAAGCAACTTTAAGCTAAATCTGCCTCTGGTGATAAAAACCTACAGCTGCAAATACATCCGGAGAAATTCAAAATACATCCGGAGAAATTCACAATACATCCGGAGAAATTAAAAATACATCCGGAGGCGGAGAAGTTGCGAGAATATGCGGAGAAGTTGCGAGAATAGGCGGAGGGAGGTGTTGCGAGAAAAAATTGCGAGAAAGGGCGGAGAAATTGCAAGAATTTTGAGTGCGCAAGTTTGTAAAATTGTCTATAATATGTTGTTAGGATGTCACATTTTGCGCACTTTGTCATTAAGTTGACACATTTTGTGCACTTTGTCGCTAAGCTGTCAAATTTTGCGCATTTTGTCATAGGTTAATATAATGGGCTACCGGATGGACAAATAATGTGCCAATAAAAGCAATATTGTTTCGTGACTCCTTTATGGTGACATCCCTAAAGCACTTAAGCCCATAATTTTGACTATTCGGATAGATTTTTGGCTTCAAGTGCGTCCATGAACACCAAACTGCAAAGTAGAACTTGGAGCTGCTCTGAGCTAGTCTCTGGCGCAGCACAAATCATCGATACCATGCCTGCACCATCTCTGGACACCATGGTCGTTGATGAGAAGCACAAACTTCTTGGAGAGACCTATGACCTGAGTGCTGCTGAGATTGAGAAGCTCTTGCAGGATATGGCCATTGACCCGAGTCTCATTTTTAACCCTGTAATCCTTGGACAGAACTTGAACCATTTAAGGTTAATATGCTTTCAAACTCCCTAAAAAGTACTTAGCCCATTTACTCCTGCATGCAGAGATTTTCAAAGGGAACAATTTTGCATCCAACTCCAAACAAGATGAATTTTCCTTATGGATAACCTTATCCCATCTTGGTGCGTTTTTCCCCCCTAAAAGATCCTAAAAAATATCGGTGGGACATGTTAGAATAATTTACTTGACCATTCTATAACCTAGTCCCCTTTGGCAGGAGACAGATCAGATGCTGGATACCCATGAGCTACAGCCGCACTTGGAGTCTGTGGATGCTGGCACTTGAATTAACAAATAAAGTTGGTTTTAATATGTTTTAATCAATATATTAATTTTTGTTGCACTTTCAAACTTAGTTATGTTAATTATGATGTTATTGTAAAATTCTTCTATGGTTAACCGTTTGGTTTAACAAGTCTCTGAGGAACGGTGGCTCCACGTGAAGCATGAAGAACAAGAGCAAATGCTGTTTGACAAGATTTGCAAGCCAAGAGAGGACACCATGTTATATCAAATCGGTTTACTTGTCTAAAACTTAAACATATTAACCCTAACCCATTTCAGTTTTTATCTGTGGACAATTCCCTTAAATTAAATAGCAGTTGCTTCAACATATCATACTAACCCTAATCCATGTCATGTCATTATTTGGACAACTCCCTCAAATTAAAAAATATGTATACAATGCTATCCCCTGCAGGCCAGGCCCCCTCAAGATGTCCATTTCAGTTTTTATCTGTGGACAATTCCCTTAAATTAAATAGCAGTTACTTCAACATATCATACTAACCCTAAGTCATTATTTGGACAATTCCCTCAAATTATAAAATATTCGACCATCCTATCCCCTGCAGGCCAGGCCCCCTCAAGATGCAGAAGTTGCAAGTGCTAAGCCAGTGCCAACTCCTGTCCGCAGTGAGCAACTTGCGCCAGCTGCTCCTGCCGAGCATCTTGCTGCTAAGGTGGAACCAGTTTCTGAGGTGGGATATAATCGAGCCAAATCTTATAATATGTTCTGGGAGCTGTTGGCTAACCTAGTGCATGTCAAAACTTTCTAAAATGCTTTTATAAGCGCAGTGTTCAAACGTAACGTAATTCATCAACATGACAAATTCATAGAAGTTGTTTGATTTAAGAACCTTGGGTCCTTTCCACCTTCGTAACATCCTTTAACCTTTTCGCCTGTGCAGGCATGCAGCCCAAATGAAATCCCGATGAGCATCGACATTTATGATTCCGACTCTGAAGCTGACCCAGAGGACAGCGAGGATGAAGAGAGCAAGCAGCTCAGGAATGCAAAGACCCTTCGGCTGGATGACTTTGCAGATCCTCGTTCAGAAGCTGCTTCTGTGGCAACTGAACGACAAGATGGAAAGGCTGGAAATAACGTTGAAGGACGATATGGGAAAGCTGACACTGAAGCTGACATGTGGAAGAAGAAGTGCGAGGAGATGGCAGCAATGATTGCCCAGTTGCAGAAGCAGCAGCAGCAGCCATCCTCTCCTTCTCTTGGGACGCCAACACCGACGAAGTTGTTGTTTTCGCCAGTCCCACCCTCTGAGAATGGTGGCGCGTTGCCTGCTATGCCTAAGCCTGAGACCTCAAAGGCAGCTGCCTTACCTGCCTTACCTCCTGTTCCGAAGAAACCTGAAGTTCCTGCCCCTGATTCTGCAAAGTCTGGGCTGGAAGTGGCAAATCCATCAAAGGCAGCTCCTGCCAAAGCATGCCCTGCGAAAGCAGCTGCTTCCAATGGAAGTGTCCCACCAGAGGATGAAACCACCTTGCGAGTTGGAGAGGAGGAACTTGCAGAGCAGTTGGATCTCAGTCACGAGGAAGGGTCTTAATAAATTGTGCGCCTGTTATTTTAAAGTGTTTTATTTTTATCTTTAAACACTCACCTTACAAGATTTGCCTTTTCAAGAGCTTAGTCCTATAATGTTTAAGTCAGCTGATAGACTACTTGCCAGCTGGCCTTAATATCAACCTTGTCAGGATCTCAGTCCTCATGCCTTATACATGAGGCTCAAACGCATCTGTTCGAAGACCCCGGCTGGAAAGTTGAATGTGGAACAAAGTGTGCACGACCAATGGATTTCTGGGAATCGAGATCAGCTACTCCTTGCACTGGTTCGAAGCATGAAGGCATGCGGCTTCGACAATTCCCATCGCACACGACTACAAGTTCGGGCAAGGTTTTCCAAAGTGTTATGCGACGTCCAGTCATGTAAATGTTAAATCAAAATTAAGTTAGTTCAAATTAATTTTAAATTTTGATCTTTAAGTCTCACAACCCTGCAGGGTGAATTCCAGAAACAGGTCATGTACCTCAAGGAGCAGCAGAGGGCAAAGGAAGAGGAGATCGAAGGTGGCTGGTACACAGAAGAAAAGATGCAGAAGGAGTTGTCTTACTCATCGCATCTGGCCAGTGGATTCGTATTTTCCATATCTTTCCAAAATATTTTATGGTAACATTTTGGTGCCTGAAACCTTGTTTCAACACGCTCGTGTGGATTATTTGCTAAGGGCTCTCATCACCAAGATCAAGGCATACTGCATGCGATTCCCAACCGTGCTGACAAGGACAGGTGGTTTAAAATATGTATGTTAATTGCACTGCATTGAAAAAGCCACAAGTCTTTGGCTATAACTATTATAACGATTTGAAAAGCATTGGCTGGATTCACCCTGCAGGCCGTTTCAATATGATCCAGATACAAAGGAGTACTTTGTGCAGACCGCAGACACTGTCAAAGTCAAGAGATGTGAGATGGAAAAATGGCTTTCTGCGGAGGAAAAGGAAGCAAAGGACTGGTTTACACAAAAAAAAAGACTGCATTCCACTAAGGTTGTCCCAGCTTCCCCAAACATTCAGGTTAACCTAGTGATAATTTTCCTCCATGCAGGACATGCCCACCAAGCCCTTGGAGCATCTGGCTTTGACAAATGCCTGTGGTGTGGAGGCTGGTGAACCAGGAAAAGTGGGTGCCACCCAGGTCAATGCCAAGGGCGATGTGAAGGAGAATCTGAAGCAATTCATTGATTCGACTCACCAGAAGGCAAGTCTGGTTGTCACTTGGTTGGGCACCATTGATGAGAAGGCCAATGACAGGTGCAAGAAGTTGCTTTGCAGCATTTACAATGCCTTTTCTTTCAAGCATGAAATGTTTGTTTAACATTAATGGGTAATTTATAAGGTCCCTGAAAGGATCGTTTCATTCGTTTTAATTGGATTAAAAAGCTAGCTTCGTCGCTGCAGGTTTTGTGCTGACATGAGAGCCTTGCTGGAATCATTTGAAGCCTCTTTTCTGAAATTGGCGGAAGTTCAGCACAAGCTGGAATGCGATGAAGGGCCTCTGGATAAGTTTCTTGGCATTATTAATATTTCCTGTAAGAGACTCCAAGAAAGGATTTCCCAAACATCATTTTTTTCAATGTTTTTCAAGGCCGTGTTTTTTTTGAGCCCATGTCGCTTTACTTATATTATTTTGGCTGCCCAGCACTCCAATACTGGTCCCTTCATGTTCCCCATGTTCCCACCAGGATCCTTGAGGAGGTCAACCTCGCGAAAGCTGCAGCCCGTGATCCGCACCTTGATCATTGTGAGGGGCATCTTTTCGGTTTTTCTTTTTATGTGTTTCGTCTTTGGATGATTCCATATTATTTTTCAGATCACCATTTGATGGTTGTGTTTACAATATCAGCTTACTTGAAACCATTAGATCACCATGTGGGACAGCCTATTGGTTAAATCCAAAACTTCAAACGATATGGGGGTTCTCATCCAATAAGGTGCGTGAAGATCATGGCAGCCGAGCACATCTACAAGATGCTCCTTGCTGAGAGCAAAAAGCGAAAGCGGGAGGATCGAGGGGAGGAACCTGGAGAAGAAGCGCCTGTTCCCAAGGCCTCTTCGAGGCGCAAGACAAATAAGGCCAAGACAGCGGAGAAGTGAGGTGTGACTCGCACTGATAGCTATAGTTTCTTTAGCACCTACCTGCTTGAAATAGCAGGCGTGTGTTTGAAGGTATCATGGGGTTTAGTGGGGCCTAGACCTGCCAAATCAAACCCAAATTTACATAGAAGCACTTGATTCAATCATTATAAATATTATAGAATATAATAGAATATATCTTCAAGCTGTCTTAACCGTGCTGCAGGTATAGTAATTCTTAGGCCTGACCCTATGATGAACTTTACTCTTCGGGGGAAACCACAGGGGTCTCTTGCATGGCACCAAACCTGCAAAATATGTTGCGGGAGTGTGCATCATGCTAGATTACATCAGGCGAGAACAAGACAAAAGGTGTGTGCTGCATGACCTTGCCTCCAGTCTGGCCCCCAACTGTAGCTCTAGCTTTCATGCGCTACTTGCAAGCCAGGCACCGTGGCAAAGCGCCCGAGGCAGCGGCACTTGAAAGCCAGCAGCACTGCGACCAGCCTTGCCAACAGCCTTGCTAGAGGAGCTCCTCGCTCGCATCTTATTAATTAATAATAACTGATAAACAAGTTAACTCATATAGTTTAAATTAAATTTATGCAGTAATGCACATGAACGATAATAATTATTTTCAATTAAGGTAAAGCGATGCAGTTTATTCCAAGTATTTGATTCACTCAAGCTGATTAAATTCAATTAAATTATAGTGATCGAGTTAAGATTATTTAAATTAATTATTTACTTAATTGAAATAAATTTGTGATAGTTAAGTTAGACTTTGATGATTCGAAATTGCTAGTGATTAAGTTAAATATCGGCATTAACACCTTTAATTCTGAACACATAAATAAAATTAATGATTAGCCCGAGAACCATCTAAGTCCCTTAAGTAATTCACATGATGAAAGGTTGAGCAAATTTAATAAATAAATTAAGTTAATCCACAGTGTGCCCTAAAGGCATTATAGATCCATAGGCATCAAAGTGGATGTAACGCCACGTTTAAGTCAAAATAAAGATTTTAGAGTTAATGCAGGCACTCAAGAATCACGATGAAAAAGCCTGAATTTTTTAGAATGCATTCTTCATACAACAATACTGATCGGTTTTAAAGTCTTTAGTTTGGGCCTTAATAGTCCTGAAATGTTTTGGGATGTCAGCTTTGGATGTTCTTGTGCAGTAACTACTTTTGTTTGACAGGCAGGGTGTGTAAACAAAACTTTATATCTTAGAATTCTGAGCAATGACAGTTCTTTGTAAGAGCGCGACTAAGGCCCCAGCTATCCAACTTTCGGAACATGCCAAAGCCATATTGGAAGACGATGCGCGTTTGGGAATCAAAAGGCAAGATCCTGTGCTGGAAAGAATGGCGAAAGGATCATCTCATGCTGCACCTCTTCCTGACAGTTTTTTGTGGGTTTGAAATGGTTTCTTCATAATTTGTTAGTATTTGTGTTGATGCTTGCTGCTGGTTATATACTTCATTGCATTTCAGGCAAGAGAATGCTTGAAGGCTATGGACGAGGCTGGCCTTCGGGCACCGATCCCTTTTAGCTTTGGGCGAATTGGCGATAATGACAGTGGCATGCTTGCATTTAATTTCCACTCATCACCTTGGCTGCTTTTAAAACTATAGTTTTTTTTGGGGTGGTATTTGCACTTAAGTTTAATAATCAACCCAGGCTCCATAATTAAAATAACTGTTTTTTTTCATTAGTTAATCTTTGAAAATCAGACCCCAACCTTGAGGTTATCCTTGGCTGAAACCAACTGATTTGGTAAAAGCTCTGCATCAATGGGGTCGCTTGGACATCATCCTGCCAGAGAAAGACTTGGAATCTTCGGAGGCAGCACTGCGAATCTATTGGTCCAGATTTCGATCCTTGTACCCCAAGCACGAGATTTTTGAAACCCTGTCAGATTGCGAGCTAACCAGAACGATTCCTATTAAGCTGCATGGTGACGAAGGAAGAAGCATCTTAACTGAACTTAAAATCCAGATGTTTTATTTGATGTAAATTCCATCTACAGATGACAAAAAAAATATGGTTTTGACCATTTCAGGCAAGAAGAAAAGTCCAATTATGTTGCTTAGCTGGAGCCCTGCGCTTGGACGTGGAACCAGCAAATCAATCAACGAACCACTGGAGAAGCAAACTGCCAGTCAACGATTGAACATGTTACTGCAGTCAAATTTAATTGTTTTACCTTACTGTTTTAAGATTTCCCTACGAAAATAAATGATCTAGTTAACATAAGCCTGCTTTGACACAATTAAGGTTGGGGCATCCAGTATCTTGTCGGATTTGAAAAATCAAGGTTTTGTTTTTTTGTTGTTGCAAACTTAAAATCTTAAGTTATGTTTCTGATCGAAATTATTGATATTATGTGCAGTTGCTGCAGGAGCTTTGCCGCTGGCTTGCATTTGCAGCTCTACGCGAAACCTACGGAGATCATCCTGAATGTTTGGACGAGGGCATGGCATTGGTGTCTGAAAATTTGATCCATGCCATGAAAGTTGGTGTGGATGTGGGTCATGCTGGTGCTCCTAAGACCCTGAGGCTCGCAGTCACAGGCATCAAGGGTGATTGGCCATTTTTGATAGTATGTGGCCGGCTGCATCGCCACTTTAGGCGAGCCCCTAAGAGGGGACAGTCCAACATGCAGTCGGAAGGGGTCTGCCATCTGTGTCTGGCTGGGTATGATGGCATTCCATTCACCGATGTATCTGCGACCCCGGCATTTGAAGCAACAATGTTCAGCGCTGCAGATGCTTGCCTTGACTTATGTTTATTTATAATTTTTACCTGAGGTTGATTTTCTTAATTGTTGTTGACTAGCAGTGTGTGCCCATCACATCAATCAGTGGTTTAGGCCTTGTGTCCCTGGGAAACCTTGTCACCATGGATAGCGGATCTACCTGCAGAACCTCACTTCAGACCATGGATCCTGCGACCGGACGTGTTCCACAACTGGCACTTGGGAGCAGGACGATACTTTGTGGCTTCAAGTCTTGTGGTGCTCCAGGCTTCTAGTCTTTTTGATGGCACTTCGGTTGAAAGCAGGTTCTCTGCCATGACTGCTGCATGGCTTTCATTCTGCAGGCAAAGGAAAGATACGTGCCTGTCTTCAAACAAGGATAGGTGAACTTTAAGTTTAAGGTTCAGCCCCCGTAAAAAAACAAGTCAAACACTTTAATATAATTTAACTGTTAGGTTCGATGAGCGTTTAATTATAAAAAAACGGGTTGGTTCTAATTTGACAAATGTGCAACACTCAAATGAGGAGCGGCCCTACCTGATGAAAATTGGACGAGACACCTTGAATTTCAAATCAGGATTGGACTGGCCAGAAGGTGGTTGGCAAAAGGGGGCGACAACGACATTGTTGCTGGAAACCTGACCACATAATTTTCAATACTTTCAATGCCGCACAACTTTTTTCAGTTAATGTTTCAAAGTTTTCTTCCCCGGCCAATCTACTTTATCAATTCTTCACTGACAGCAAGCAGGAATGGATTGAGACTTTGCTTTCAGATGAAGTTGTATCTGGGCTGGCCGATGAGGACAATCGAATCCCTCTCATTGCCTTGGCGACGAGCCCTGCCTGCACATTGGGATTTGCCAAAGTTTTCTCGATAGATCTTAATACTTGATTCAAATTACTTTCAGTTAACTAAGATTATAATTAATGATATTGAATTAAAATTGCATTGAGATAAGTAAATGGCATTGTAACCTGCAGAGACCCTAAATTAAGTTGTGCTTTAATTTTTTCTGCTGGGGATCCGTGGGGTTGCATGAGGCGAAGCATCAACTCTGTGTTTCGCCAGTTGTATCATGGTGGTGCCTGGCTATCTGCAGAGGAGGCTTCCTCTATTGGTGATCTGGGTCTGGTGATGCTGCGAGCAGAGAACCGTTTAGCTGAAATCTCTTTGGCCCGTTGTGAGCCCAGGTTCCCGCTGCATTGCAAACCGCATATGCTTTACCATACGTTTAAATTCCTGACACAGTGGAGCAGGACACACGAATGGTGTGAGTCGCCACTAGTAGATGCTACGCAGATTGATGAGAGTTTTATTGGGATCATTTCCCGCTACTCTCGGAGGGTTTCACCTCGAATGACTGTTCATAGAACATACGACATCTACTTAGCATCTTTGCGGCGCCACTTGCTGGATGATGATTGAAGGAAAAGAGTGAAAAGAGCAGGGTTGTTGAGAATGGAAGAAGTAAAAGGAATAAAAATAGAAGAGTAAAAAACATAAAGAATAATTATTCATAATCAAGAGAAACCAAAACATCCGGAGAACCTCAAGAATTGCAAGTTTTTTTACCATTGCGAGAATTTGTGGGAACAACCGGAGAGTTGCAAGAATCTAAATAAATTTTACGATTTCTGGACAGCTGTAACTTTTCTTGCGATACCAGCTTTGCTGGTATGTATATAATATATATATATGTATATAATATATATATGTCTATAATATATATATAATATAAATTATAACATATATATATATAATACTATATATATATATATATATTCCCTGCCTATAGATTCCCAAGTAGTAGATTCCCCACAAGGCAAAAAAGTTAAGGCACTTACTAAAACAAAGCCATCCAATTTGGCACCTCCGGCGTGTAGCTGGAGGCATTCGCAGCTCCCAGGCATGGGACGAAACCAGAGGCGTCGGGCCAGTAGAAGCCACTGGTGAAGGACAAAAGCTGTCGCAAGGTCACCTGCAGGTCGCTTGAAAATAGCTATGACATATATGTATATATACATATATCTATAGATATCCATAGTATAGTGATTAATTATAGTATACTATCATGACACTATAATTATGTATAATCATTATAATTTATATGATCATATTATTAATCACTACTGGTTGGTGGTATACCATGGTATACCTACCCCTCTGAAAAATATGAGTTCGTCAGTTGGGATGATGAAATTCCCAACTGAATGGAAAAATAAAAGCCATGTTCCAAACCACCAACCGGCATAATATATCCATAATCCATATGGCGTCTAGTAATTTGACATAGGGAAAATCATGGAACATCACCATGATAGGTAAATGATCTGTAAATGGTCCATGTTGCATAGCTCTGTTAAATTACCAGACGCTAATTTCCGTATAGTTCCGTCATATCCATTATCATCACTATTATCAATGGATTGGTTTAAGGGAAAATCTACAGGAAACCATAGATTTTCCCATTAAATATGAGGCTTTCCTGTAAATTTTCCCTTAAACCAATCCAGTGATATTAACATTCATTATTAAACGTCACTATAAGATATACTATATATATAATTAGCGGGATTCCATTGGGACCCCTGATGGAACCAAGGAATCCGTATACTATTCACAAAAAAAACTCCCATGTTAGAAACCCCAATGGGAAGATTATAGGAATGGGGTCCCTATAAATTCAATGGAAAAAAGGGTGGTGTTTTTCCTGGAGGAGGGAGTTGGGAACCAAGTTTTGAGGGCTTATTGCTTGTTGTTCAGGGCGTAGAATCTCTTCCTTTTCAGGGGTTAGATTGCTGCGGGGGTTCGGACTTATAGATACAGCACTTAAGCTTTATAACTCGATCTTTTTATGCACGCCCATGTTCTACCTATCGGCAGGGCCTATCTGGGGCTACAACTCTCCCCGGGTTTTCCCTTCTGTCAAGCCTATCGGGGTGGATTGGTCAACAAACCATGGGCTTCTTCAACAACAAAGCGATGCTGTTCAGTTCCACTATAAGGAAATCATGATATAACCATAACTATACGCACAGAACCGGACGTTTCCCCGGAGCCCTTCTATTGTTTTGGGGGGGTGGCAAATTTATATATACCCTGCATATATTTAATTTTACAGATCAACTCCATTTATATACCTTTCTACACATTGATGAGAAAAATGTGAGAATTGCGGTAAAAGTGCTCATTATCTCATGTTTCTGCGAACGTTAGGTTCTGCAGCTAACAATGGTGGTCTCTGAAAATTGGGGATCCCCAGTCGTCATCATGTCATGGGTTTCAATACGAAGTCCTGGTGCTGAGACCCATGGAATTCCCTTCGTTCAAGGTCCAAGGGGCACGACTTCTAGGGTCCTTTGCGTTGCTGCTCCACCAGCTCCAAATCTCCTGAACTTGGCTCACATCGGCACGCTTCCAGCTTGGCAGCTGATAGTTCACTTCAAACATGGTATAGCTAGTATAGCTGGCTGGAATTCATCATGTTCTTCTGGGTTTCAACTTGAACGAACCAACAAGGACGGGGTCAGGGTCATACCTTGTGTTCTAGAAATCCCTTATTTCCAACGAACCACGTTGCTCGCGAAAAAATCCAGTTTCAAGTCCCCAGTTGGGGACTCAAGTTTCATACGTTGGAGGCCCAGGAGGGCCCAATGATTCTCCTTGCCTGGGTCCTGGGGAATCAATACCCTCTGGTAAACTAACATAGCTATTGAAAATGGCCATTTATAGTGGATTTTCCCATTAAAAATGGTGTTAGTTTACCAGAGGGTAATTCTATTTCAATGGAACCACCATGGTTCTCATCCTTTTTTTTCCATCTGCCAGTTCTCCTTCATGTTTTTTTTCATCATTCTGTCGAAGCAAGAAAGATCCCGTTCGAGATCCTGAAAGATCCTAATGGCACCTGCCCGGTACCCTCTGGTAAACTAACATAACTATGGAAAATCACAATTTTTAATGGGACAATCCACTATAAATGGCAATTTTCAATAGCTATGTTAGTTTACCAGAGGGTACCTCAAACTTTTGAAATGCTGAATTCAGTTGGGCTGCATGAGGCTTGGTGTCAAAGGTGATATAGCCATCAGCCACACATCCAGCGATGGCCATTGCAACTGGGAACTTACCTCAGAATCAAATGAACATGATATGTTTGAAATAGGGCACCCAAAATATTTGTATATAAACGAAATATAATATATATATATATATATATAATTCTATAATATATATATAATATCCCAGGTGTTTTCATTATACGTTCCTCTTGTTCCTCTTCGAATGGTCATTTTTGGTGGAACAAATTTATCCGACCAAACCGACAGATCTCCTGGTCCACCTCGTTCCAGCTACACAAATTGGAGGCCAGTCACATCGCAGCAAACTACAAGATGGGGCCCCCGAAATAGCTAAGTTGCTGTTTATAACTACCATATAACTAGGGTCTACTGGGAATATATCTAAATTAGATTACGTTAGATGGATTTATAAATTAACTTACAATTAGGGGGGCCACTATGTAAACGATTTCATGCACCACCGGCTTCCAAAGAAATGATATGCAATGATGCCTCATCCCATCTCAAAATCTGGAGCCAGTTTTACCACCAACACGAAAAAATCAAAAGGAAATGGAAAACTTAGATAGTACCAGCACTGTTTGCCATATGTTCCGGCAAGTTCTTCAAACATCATGGTATCACATGGGAATTTGGCCAAGACCTCCATAATGGATCATAATGGTATACTATAGCAACAAACAAACACCTATATAAATTGATGGTTTATACATAAGTTATAAGTTTATACCAGCCATGGCTGGTAAACACTGGTGATAAAAAAAAAGGATGATCCCGAAATCGTCGTGGTTTATCCCAGCTGCTCGAGGAAGCCATGGCCAACGGACTGGACATGTTGATCTTTCCCTTTTCGTAGACGAACTTGCGCCCCTCCGCCGTCCCAGCCGAGAAGGCCATATCCTGGGAGGATCCCCAGGAGGATCCGGAGGATCCCGAGGATCCCGAGTGGTGAGTAACAAGGGGAGCCCACTAGGGGAACCAAACAAAATGGTGGTGTTAGGTGTTTCATATTGGGATGAGATGGATGATTCGGGAATGAATGTTCTAATTGGAAGATGTTCATGTAATATATACAATAAGCCGGGAAGAGCCGAGAAGAGTTTCTACTGATTCTTGGGGCATCAACTTGAATTGAAGGGGGCGGTGGGAAACCCACAACGTCACATGACCTAAGTGTGGCCTCCCATCTTTGGAATCTCGTGTGCTAAACAACAATGGTTTCCAATGATTTCCAAAGTAGCAGTGTCCCTGTTTCAACCTTTTCCATCTTTTCCCTTTCCAAGTAAATCCCTGTTCCAGTTGTTTGAGGACTGGCCAATTTGTTACACTGTGTTACACTTGCAGTACCTGACTCCGGCGTCAAGCTGCCGGTATGGGCGCATAGATCTTTAAGATGCCTCGTACCAAACTCCATTGATCAACTTCGGTGCTGATCGCAATGGGCAGCAGCCAGAGGCTTAAACTCCACAGCATATTGGCCATGGCAATACAGGGAACTTGAGCCGAAAATCCACTACCAGGAAGCCTTCTCTTGATGCAAAGTGCAGGTGAGGTATGTGAAGAATCATGTCCGAAGTGGTACAACCATATAATTCTTTATATTCTAAAAATGCAATAGACAATGCAACAAGTCTCATGAAAAAAATGTTATCAGTATCAGAAACTTCCAATATCAACTGCCATGTCATCCCTTTTGCCCGGCGTTCTTGCCGTGAAGCCCCTCACGGCCATCTGCGACCTCCCCAAACCACAAGGCCGTCCAACTTCAATCGGCTGATGGTGTGAGAAATCGCTCGCCTTAGCTGATGGTGAAACCAACCGAATTTGGAAGAACATAACCATAGTGTGGTATGTATTATATGATATTATATGTATATGGTATTTATGTTTCTAGTTTTATAAATATATATTGTACATATACTGTATGTACATATTATACATATTATACATATCATATACGTACAAACATGGATTGGACGTATATTCTTATGGAGCGCAACATGGAGAACGACCAAACAATGCTAATTAACTTCATCAATTTTACCCATCCTGGAGCGTCTGAAAAGTAAAGTCGGACTATCAGTGATCAATACATGAACCCAATGGTTAATAATGGTAAAATAATGGTCAATAATGGAAGATAGCCAACAACCATGGATAAATAGTGGATAAATGTATAATATACCCCTCTGGTAATGACTAACATAGCTATTGACAATGGCCATAGAAATAGTTGATGTTCCATAAACACATGTGATTTTCCATAGTTTTTGTGTATGTTTACCAGAGGGTATATACCCAATCTTCTCCAGCAGTATTGCGACATACTACCGAAAATAAACATATCGTATTATATCGTAATGTACCAACCGTATCGACGGCACATGATGCCAATGAGCAGCTTCTTCCAAATGAATCATGGTGCTCCCCTGGAGAAATAGGGATGGAACAAGCGCTCAATAATGTATTTCTGAAAGGAACCCCAACAATGTTTTCCAAATGATTTGTATGTCAAATGATTTGTTGTTGGGTATGAGCAATCCCTTCCCCATAACATCAACCCCCCCGGAAACCATGGTGGATGCAAGGATTTACACATCTTTGGGACCATTCGATGGGGGGTTTTATATTATATAAATATTGGGATTACAATTATATACTTGCAGCTCGCAAAATGATATTCCCATTCAAACCCAGAAAATCACAATTTCAATTACCTATTCAATGGCAATTTGAGGACCCTAAAGTGGAGGTACTGTACCATGAAAAGGCATTGTGGGTATATTTCCTTATATACATAGCCCCACTTATACACAGGCCTTGTTAAATATAAAGTTAACTCCGCTCTTCCACCACTCTTGCGATTCGAGGCCCCGCACAGGTCATGGCCCAATTTGGGAATATCCTGGCGGAATAAGCCAAGTGGCACATGCGGATCGTTGTTTTCATGTGTTTTCATACGTAAGCATGTAAAGTAAAATGCAGCCCCAGAACAAATATACATGTATACATACTGCACACTCTCTCTCTCTCTATATATATATATATACTGAGTGATAATTTGCATATATAGAGTTATAATATTAACACTATAGAATATATATATATATTATTATTATTAGTATTATTATTATTATTTCAACCTCAAGAACCAATAAGAATTGCAATCTCCAGGAGAACTGTCATCAAAACCGGTCCCGGTTCTTCAGGTGGGTGCTTAAATATGGACCTGTCATGCTTGGTTCAATTCCAACAAGGTGGGCATAGGTAATAAACAACACCATCACCATCACCAAAATCACCATCACCATCATCATCATCATCCAAAGGTTCTTTGTGACACCACTAATAGTCATCAATAACCTTCATCTTAATATCTATAGTACTAACCATTAACCATCATCCAAAGGTTCGGCATGTGATTTTTTTGGCCAAACATGTCCAGCATGTCCATGTCCAGCTTGGGAAATGAAGCATGAAGGTCACCCCTGCGCTCCTCTGGCTGGCTTTGGCCAAGCAAATCACAGCCTTGCTGCTGTTGCCGGATTTACACATGCGCCAAGGCTTGTAGCGAGGTTGGTGCTTTGAAACCATCCTGAATATACTAGTAATATTGGTCAATGGGCCCTCTGGGTGAAAAAGTGTCTTTTTTTTTGGTGTGTGTGTGTATCTATACTTATTATTTGCTCAAACAATCAAGCAGCATTCTAGAGTAAATACATGCACATAAATGATTCTACATACATTCTACATACATAAGATTACATCAGGGTATTCCCTCCTGCTTGCTGCCGACATCACATTCCCTCGTGTACCAAGGTGTAGTCTGATAACCACGCCTCCCTGGTTTCGGTGAGGTGCCAAAAGCTCCTGGTCACTGTAAGCACGCGGGAAATCTCCATCAAGGGGGTGAGGGATCACACAAAATAGATTTAAGGCATCAACAAATATATATATATTCCCATCGAATCCCTGAAATTTTCCATGGCCCTTGCAACAATTTGGAGCCAAAACCAAGCATTTCTGTGGTATTTGCATTGTGTTGGAAGTGGTTCGCCTCTCGCCCGGAAGGTTTTTGCAGGACATTGGACCTGGAAACCTCTCAGATTCGATGTCCGATGGTTGGTTTAGGGTTGGCCTATGGTTTACGAGGTGTGAAAATTGAGGGTTGGTCATTGTTATTTAGGTTGGTAAAATGTCTTATCTAAAATTGGTTTAGTGTTTGTTTGCGGCTTATTTATAGTTTGTTTAAGGTTTATGTAGGGTTGGTTTAGGGTTTATTTTGGTTTTGTTTAAGACTTTGTGGTTTAGGTTTCGTTTAGGATCTATTGAGGGTTGGTCTTTGGTTTATTTGTGGGTTGGTTTAGGGCTTATTAGGGTTTCTTTAGGGTTTATCTAGGGTTGGTTTATGGTTTCTTTAGTAATTTAGGGGTGGCTTAGGGTTTATTTGGGGCTGGTTTGCGGGTTATTTGAGATGGGTTTAAATTGATTTCGGTTTCGTTTACAACTTATTTAAGGTTGGTTAAGGTTTCGTTTAGGGTTTATGTACATTTAGGGTTGGTTTAGGTTTAGTTTAGGGTTGATTGAGGGTTGGTTTAGGGTTCGTTTAAGACTTACTTTGGATTGGGGGTTGGTTTATGGGGTTATTTAGGGTTGATTTATATATATATAATTATATATATATATATTTTTTAAACGGTTGGTTTAATTGAGAGTTATCTTGAAACTGTTTTAAGGCACTAGACTCACCAAAGGACGGAAGGAGCAGGGGACCAGAGGAGCAAAGGACTGGAGGACTGGGAGATTCAAATACCACACGATTTAAAAGGAAAAAGGGCCAAAACACTGCACCAGCGCAGGAAACATGATTCCCTTTAATTTATGCCTTAAATAAATAAATAAATAAGTAAATAAATCAATAAATAAATAAATTATATATATATATTTATTTATTTATTTTGTGATGCCTTAAATATCTTTTTGGCATCACATGCCATCAAACAAGTGGATGAGTGGGAAATCACATGAAATCACCATCAAACAGGTGGGAAAATACCATCAAACGTTAAGAAATCACCATCATCAACCAGTAAACAAATGCAACTTTAGCAAGAAATATAAACAATATCACCATGAAACATTGAGATTCATGATTTATCCATTGGCATTTGCCGACAGCGCGCCATCCACAAAAGTGGTGCATGAAGATAATAAGCAACTACCAGGTTTGGAACATGATTTCCGGAAAATGAGCCTCCATTTTTTTTAAGACCACATATTCCCTATAGATTCCCCGAATAGTGGATTTACACATAGGAACGTCACAAATCATCTTCAGTAAACCCAAGTGTTGGTCTGTAGGAAGTTGTGCGTTGATTCCGAGGCTTTTCGTTTCCGCAGTTGGGAGTTTGAAGTTGGGACTTTCCACTTTCGGGTGAGAAAATCCCTGGAGGATATGATCCATAGATACATGGGTCCTGACATGGGCGTGCCTGAAAATGGAGGATACTCTCAAAATGGCACTTTATAACTTTATAAAAATGGGGCGGATGATGATTAATCACTGCATAAAGTCGGGTTTCCAGGGGTCTTCCCAGAGCTAGTGACATTGCGCTTGCGCTATTCCTCCAAAATGGATTTTTCTGACACACCCAATTATCATATGAAGTTTGTTTTTTTATTCCAGCAATTCCCATGTTCATGGCCAACTCACAATTGTTCAAGCTTAAATCACAGATGAAAGTGTTCATAGTCATATTACATTAAAACCATTCACATCGTCTTAAACCACCATGTTTTCATAGTCATATCAGTCATATAAACCATACTAAACCACATTTCAACATATTTCAACCACAATGTTTCATTAAACTTCCACATACTAAACCATATTTCAACCATACTAAACCATATTAAACTTCCACATACTAAACCACTGTTAGCTTCTGCCTCAGTCAACTCGAAGGAGAAGTTGTGCACCAAGCCAGCCACGCCCATGGCGATACAGATCACCTTGCCATCCCAGACCTGTCGCACACAAAGGCCATTCGGCGCCATCGGGATATCGGCAGATTTCTCGGGATTTTTTGGGATGTTTGGATTTCAAATAGGAATTACATACCCTCCGGTCAACGTTTACAAAAAGCTATGGAAAATTGCCATTTATATCCATTTATTTTTTGATATAGCCATGAAAAAGGGTGATTTTCCATAGTTATGTAAACGTTTACCAGAGGGTAATAAGTTGATGTAAGTTGGTGATGTTTCATATGTTGGATTTTAGATTAAGTTTCATCGTTTTTGGCTGAATGATAGCAATGTACTAACCTGATAAAAGCTGACAACTTTGGCCATTTGGGGATGGTTCCCCTTACTCTTCCCATTATTCCAGTGACGTCACAGTGACGACACTATAATTTATCCGCCACGTATGATAATACACACATATATATATAATTATATACATATGTGTGTGTGATAAT